ATGGTTGGCTACATGATGGATCAATTGGGTGATTGTAATCCAATTTACAACCACTTCCCATCTACTAAATGAGCATCAATAAACACTTAGCATCATGTGACGTTTGACCCTTTGCTCTGTTTACGTTTAAATTTTATTCGTTGCATCATATGGTACATTGTCTCATACTTCCCTATCCTTGTTCGAATACCGTCGTTCTTGTACTCATCCATTAGTTTGCTAGTTTCAGTGAAGAACATAAAACCCTTTTTAAAAGCATAGTTGTGGCAAAATTGGGCATACTCTTCTCTAAATACAAAGGTCATTCCAACTTCTGGATCATTTGCTATTCCCCAGTCCTCTTCTTCACATTCCTCAAACACCTCATTTAGATAAATGATTCTTTCCAAATTGCCCTCCACATTTGCCATTACACTACAACCCAAACCTACATAGCACAGTTAAACTCATAAATTATTCTCCACTATAATTATATTATGTACATCTAATAATACATAATTATACCACTATAATTATATTCATACTAAAAAAATTAATATCTCACTGAAATTGCTTAAAAATAATTTTAAAAACTCATGAGAAAGGTACATTAAACATTATTAACTACAAAACACAAAATTTCAAATTTTATCAAAAATAAATCCATGGATTCGAATTCCATTACAAAACTAAAAGCATATCTTCTTCAATTCTTATAACTTCAAACCAATTATATTTCCTTGTAAAAACCATTTTCATCAAGTATAATGATGTGTCTATTTTATATAGTATTTTACCCCCGTCCCTTGGTCATAATTAGTAGTGTTTTTGGCTCTTTAGAGTCACTTTTATTACTAATTGGTGTTTTCTAGTGTTATCGTAGATTTGGTTGACTTTTGCAGGGATTTATACTTTTGGAGTATTTTCCCGAGATATTTTGGAGCAATCACAAACATTGGAGAAGCACGACCAGATTTTATAGCCCAGAGTCGGTTAGAGCCATCGAACCGGTGATTAAGGGCTTGGTATGTGTGATACCGGGGCATTTGGACCGAGTATTCAAGACCCGAAGAGGAACCCCAGATTGGCCCGAAGAATTGGAGCCCAATCGTAGTTCAAATTGTGGCCCAAGAGAGCCGCCCGGCCAAAAAGGCTGGAGCCCAGAGGCGCGCCCAGCCGGGCGAGAGAAGCAAAGGTCGGCGCCCGGCCAAAGAGATTGGCGCCCGGAGGCGCGCCCGGCCGGGCGAGGGAAGCAAAGGCTGGCGCCCGAAGGCGCGCCCGATCGGGCGCGTGTTATTGTTAGGAGGCGATTAGCGTCGTTTAAGTTTGTTTTAGTTTAGGATTCTTACAGAGTATAAATACTTCTCCGTAAAACGAATTTAGTACTTCTTTACCTTTTTTTTTACTCTTTCTTAATTTTTCTGAGACTTTCTCTCTCTAACTCTTTTCTCTCTCCTCTTAAACTCTTAGTATTATTTTCTCTCTATATAACTCTTGGTTTAATTTCAGTACTATTCTCTTTCTTTTATCATGTCTCCTCTAATTGTCTTGATTAGTTTAGTTTTAATTATGTGTGATTAGTTTTATTTCTAGGGTTTATGGGGATCCATAAATAATATGAAGGGGTAATTTATTATTGTTAATTGTCAATGTTAGATTAATTTCCTATTGATTGATTTAATGCTCTGTGACTAGATTTGCGCAGATCTTTTATGCATGTGTTTGACAATATTGATTCGAGATTCGACAGATGAGAATTGATGTTTAGGTCTAGTTTCAATAGGCAGGTTAATTTATAAATGGTTAGGACGAGATTCGAAAGATGATATTTAATACCGGTAAATTAATTGTGTGATTATAATACGTAGCGAAAGCCCTTTATAATCTGATTGATGTATGCATTGATGAATGATTATTAAATTCTACCCTGGAATATTATTTATTGGTGAACTTATGCCCTAGATCCTTTTATATATTATTTTATCCTTATTCTTAATCTCCGTAGTTTAGTTCATATTCAACATATATATTGGTTACCTAATAATCTAGATTATATTAGTTAATTAGGAATAGAAAGACTTGTTTCCCTGTGGAGTTCGACCCTACTTCCATATCTACTTTAGTTAGAGGATTTAGGAATTACTTTTGATTAGGGGATACGACTTTACCCTGTCATATAACATATTTCCTAATTTACTTGCTACACTATGTCAAATCAAGAGAAAAACTTTCAATTATACATTTTAAATCTAATCAATTGATGAAAAAAACTTACCGTCAATGTCGCCCAATAATGTTTTGAGCTTCTTACTTCAGCTTTGATTCAACGAATGACTAGAACTTCATTGGCCATTACCATAGAAATTGTTTCTAAAAGTACATAACATACCTTGGTCGAGGAAATAATATTTTTTAGGAAAATTTGTGAGGAAGGACCTTTTAAGTAGATCTTTTTGTGACAAAGGCCCTTTTATAAAGAAAAAAAAAAAAAAAGTGGCACAAAAGGTCCTTATATCATATTTGGGTTGTGAGGAGGGTCCTTTGATCATTTTCCGGCATTGACTTTTTTATTTTCCGGCCAAAAAAAGCCATGTGTAAAGCACGTGACTTATTAAGTTCCCTTTTTTCCCTGTTTTCTCTCATTGTGGGGAGGATTAGCCTTGAATTACTTTGAATAGCCTTTACTTTTAATTTATGGGATTACAAATGAAGTTTTGGTGTTAACTGTTTTCAGAAATTAGGGTTTGGTAGGGGAAAAAAGGGGAAAACGAGAGAAAAGAGGAGGGTTAAAAAAGGGAACTTAGATATGACTTTTTTTGGCCGGGAAATAAAAAAGTCAATGCCAGAAAATGGTCAAAGGTTCCTTCTCACAACCTAAACATGATATAAGGACCTTTTGTGCCATCTTTTTTTATAAAATGACCTTTGTCACAAAAAGGTCTACTTACAAGGACCTTCCTCACAAATTTTCCTATTTTTTAACAAAATGGCGCCATAATTTCATCTTTTACCGCAGCTCTCTTCTTAGGCGGGAATCTCACACCTTTTTACCACTTAACTCTCCTGCTCAACTCTCTTTCTTTCTTTTTTAAGAGCGTTGACGTGTCGCAATTCCATTGAATGTCTATGTGGGGTTACACATAGACTAAGTCTATGTATATCAGCTCCCTCAAGTATTGGAGTAATTGACACTGTGTATGAGACAACTTGCAAGTTAGTCATACAACTTTTTGACCCAATGTTTGGGTTGAGAGTCTTTGCCCTTACAAGAATAAGATCCCACTATGATTTCTAATTACAAATCCAAAAGCAGAGCTATTTTCACCTATTTTGAACAGAGGGATCCAACTAGTGTTGTAAAAAAAAATACGGAGTAATAGTTCAACTAGTGAAAATTTCTCGGGTTGTATGGAAAGACCAATTCAGTGGTGCAGGCAGAATTCCAAGCTTGCCAACAAGCGCTCACCTGGGCATGTCAGAAAAATTTTGAGAGGGTAAAGATCTACACTGACTCTTCAACACTAGTGTATAGATTGCAGATGCCTTATCATAAGGATATTGGACTCTCGTGGACAGTAAAGGAAATACGAAGACTATGAAGCATGTTTCGGGGTTGTGTCATTTGGAAGTTTGGGAGAGAACAAGTGGCTAGAGCCCACCTTCTAGCCAACTGTTGTAGAACTAACTTTAGTGGAAGTTTAGTTTCTTCTTGTCAAAAAGAAAAAAAAAAATCTCAGAGAGGGACCAAGCCGTTTGAGTTGTATCTGACAATTTTGGTTTACTTGGAGACTTGAAAGATCCATTGGGGTAATTTTTGTCACTTACATCAACTTTTTAATTTTGATCCAATCAATTGTGAAGTTCTTGATTAGTATGTAGGTTGTACTATGTTGAATGACTCATTAAGGGTAGTTATTGATAGTGGTCTCGTAGAAGATGATGTCACCTGTCCACCTACTCCACTATAATATTGCATTTAAAACACTAATTTTTTTTTTTATTTTTTCATTTTCAAAAATCACAGTATCATTTTCTCTCTCTAAAACCACCCTCACTCTCTATATTTTCTCCAAAAACCTCCATTATCAAAGCATAAAAGCTGTAAAATAAATAACGAAGATCAAAGACGAAATTCAAAGTGTACTTAAAGAATTTGAAAGATAACCTCTACAAAAAGGTAATTTTACAATTTGTTTCTAAACTTCTAAAAAAAAAAAACTTTTATGTAAAAATTTTAATTGATATATATTCCAATAATTTGTCAACTATATTTACAATTTTGGTTGAATTATTTGTGATTTTGAACATACTCAACTTTGGTTTAATTAATTGCAAATTTGTGTTACATTTTGTAGAGAACAAAAAATTCAACATAAATGTCTAAATTAACAACAAGAAATGAATAAATTACACGAGGGTTGATTTATTACTTATTATTTTGTTTGATCCCAAAAAAATTTGAAACCCTTTCTTTTTTTGTTGAAGGATGCTCAATTCATGATATCATTTGTTATATGTTCATAATTCGTGACATTGGTTGTTCATTTTCGAGCTCTTTCCCAAATTAAGGTCAAGAAGAACCGCAATTCCCAAATTGCAGCCAAAGTTTTAAGAATTCCCATTTTACCGTCCACGTAAGCACTGGTTAAAAAACCGGTTTTTTTTTTTCCGGTCCAGGGTAAACCGCTACTTCAAGTAGCGGTTTCTTTGCAATAAACCGCCACTTCAAGTAGCGGTTTTTTAGTTTAAAACCGCTACTTGAAGTAGCGGTTTGTTTACAAAAAACCGCTATTTAATGTAGCGGTTTATTTTGGAAAACCGCTACTTCAAGTAGCGGTTTACTTTAAAAACCGCTACTTGAAGTAGCGGTTTACCCTGGACTGGTTTTTTTTTTTCAAACTTGCATAATCACTCAAAAAAAAAACCTGCAAGTTGTGTACCTGTAAAACATGAGATATATAGCATATTTTCAACACAACCACCATAAATAACAAGTTTATGAAGATCTAAGGAAGTCAAAATTGCAAAGTCGAATATTTTTCAATTGATTAAATATAACAAAATCCAATTCTAAGCATTTACAAAAAAATTAGTTTAGTTCCAAAATATACACTTAGCTCGGGCGTTGCTTCTTCCCATGAGGTGACGATGAAGATGATGCAGCTGTCTCCTCTGGAATGTCATCCAGGCCAACTCCAACCCCAGACGTAGTGTTGCTACGCCGTCGGTTTCTCTAATACTGGCGATGCACTAGTGGAGGAGATGTCATGATAGTATGCTGAGAAGGAGTCGGTGGACGGAAGGCACGTGCTGAATGGCCTCCACGATGAGGTGGTGGTCTGATCGGCATAGTGTGCACAGTAGAAGATGAAGACGTGGACGGTCGAGGCTGCTGAATAAGGTGTGACTGCCCCACCCTAGACAAGGTTTGGCCACAAAATGATGTAAAACCCTGCATCGTCTGTATGGCAAATGGTATAGCCGTCTCTGGTGGCAAGTGGGAGATGGTCTCAGTAGCTCCCGATAGCTGGACGTGCAAATCAGCAAATGCATGTGCCTATATTTAAGTGTAGTTTTAATGTTAGTAAAATGAAATCAAAAACGTAAGAACTAGATTGAAATGAAGTGAAGTTCATACAAGCAGGAGGTCCGAGGTAGCTGGCTGGTAATGACTCGGGGGGCGCTCCTGCGAAGGTGGAGTAATGACCAGTCTCGTGATGCGACGGTACCAAGCCATGTACTCTGTCATGGCCGGGGAAGAAGTCCCAGTGAACGGGTATCCCTGGACGACTAATGCCTCTCGTCGACTCCACTCGTGTACATGGTCCGAATGCCGAATCTCCCAATTACGCTGTCCCCTTCGATCCTTCCTGTGTAGAGCAACGTCCGTGTCTACATCCTGTGGGATCGGCTGGTCTAACCCGAACTGACGAAGGACTCGGTCTGGGAGGTGGAACTCAACGACGTCAAAGCATATCAGAGGTGCCCGTGAACGCCAAATATGCATGTCTGAGCGACAAATCTCCGGAAGTCGATCCATCACCGCCTCAGTATATGGCTGCCAAATCATCTAATTCCCAAAACAAGTATGTCAACATGTATATGACTAACATAATGGAAGAAATACAATGCACAAAAATAGGGTCTTTGTTAAAGTAAGGAATCACTAATTTAATCACCACCAGCTTATGTTTTTCATCTAAAGGATTCTAAGATCATCTAATTGACTGATTGCACAATTTATTTATGTTCTCAGAGGGATAACCTCAAAATAGTTAAGTGTAGGTTTATGATTGCATCAACTTGACGACTTCTAGCTGCATGTGTCTACCCATTCAAAGCCACAAACAGTGAAAGCAAAGTTTTATAAGCCTGTTGCTAAATCTATCTAGTTCGTATATGACTAAAAACTACAATAAATTTAGACCAAGTAAACTGACCTGCTGCTTATTCAACTCATCTTTTGAGATCGGTGAAAGCTGAAAGTCAGCACGTTTCTTCTGAAATTTATCCAACTCAACAAAAAATAATTAGGGCACTTACCACAAACAAGAAGATCAGCACGTTTCTTCTGAAATTAGCGAAGCCGACCACTAAAGTCGAACCCTCGGCGTCAACAGCGGCGGCCTTCGTTGCTGAGGAATGCTCCGGCGGCGTCGGTGGATTCCTTGGCTGCGCCGGCTTCCGTTGAAGGAGGTGTGATTTTGGTGGAAGGCGTGGATGGGATTTTGGTGAGAAGACGAAAATGAAAGAGGAAAGTGAAATTGGGAAATTATACCTGCTAGAAAACCGCTACTTGAAGTAGCGGTTTATTAAACAAAAACCGCTACTTGAAGTAGCGGTTTATTAAAAAGAAACCGCTACCTGAAGTAGCGGTTTATTAGTAAAAACCGCTACTTCAGATAGCGGTTTTGCTGTAGACCGGATTTAAAATTTCTTCCCCCTGAACCGGTGACGTGGACGGTAGAATGGGAATTCTTAAAACTTTGGCTGCAATTTGGGAATTGCGGTTCTTCTTGACCTTAATTTGGGAAAGAGCTCTTCATTTTCATATGATAGGATGTCCAGTCTGATAAATGTTCACTTTTATTTTGATTTTCATAACTATATTCACATGTTATTGGATGTTCATTCTTAGTAATTAAATGTTCATTTTCATTTGGTAGGATGTTCATTATGATAAATATTCACTTTCATTTTGATTTCATATTTAAATTTACATGTTATAGATTTTTTTTTCAAAAATGTTCATTTTCATGCAATAAGATGTTCATAACACTGGTTGTTCATGTTCATTTGATAGGAAGTTCATTCTAGTAAATGTTCACTTCCATTTTGAATTTTCTTATTTATATTCACTTGTTATAGGCTGTTCATTTTCATGCTATAGGATGTTCATTCTCAATATTTAAGTTGTATGTTCATTTTAGTTCTTTTTTCATATATATCATCAATTTAATATGATTTGATTATAAAACTATGTATGTTCATTTATAATAAATATTATGTTCATTATCACTAATATTACATTCACTAATTGTACTATTATGCACCTTGCAACAATCACTATGACGTTGAATCCTTATATATCAAAATTGTGCTACAATGAATAGCAAAAGGAAGATTCCAATAGCTGGTTCCTACAGGCGCCTGTACGGTGCAACGTACAGTCGTTTTGTAGGAAAGAACATGATATATAAAAGTAATGAACATATAATTATAGTGAAAAGAACATACATTTAAAATGTAATAAACATATACCTAAAGTAAAAATAACATACTACAGAGTATTAAAATGTAATGAACATATACCTAGAATGAAAAGAACATACTTGCACCAAAAAAATAAATAAAAAGAACATATGTTTATGTTCTTTGATCGGTCAGTGTAATGTACTTTATTTGCAACATAATGATCATTGCTTAATGTGAAATGTTTATTAAATTTTGTCTTCAAATTAGGGTGGTTATATATAGATAAAGTTTATTACATAATATTATCATATTCTTTATTAATACGGCAGGTGTTCTTTAGATATGAAAAAAATATATAAAATTGGATGTTCGTTACAAAACAACTATATGTTCTTTACAAAATAACTGCATGCTCTGTACAAAATAGTTACATGTTCTTTTTGCATTTTTTGGCTGTACCAAGCAAGGTATAGCCGCCTGCACCTTAAAATTTTTAGGAAGATTCAAGGTTGAAGATACAGATAAGACGAACTTTTAAAAAAAAATCGGATGTTCTATAAAATATTGTACATCCGTTATAAAGTTACCCTAAAATGAACAAAAGTTACCCCTAAAATGAATAAAAGTTACCCAAATATGCATAAAAATAACCCAATACAAATAAAATTATTACGCTTTATTAGTAAAGAATCACATTTTAAATAACTAAAAATCAATTATTAGTGATTGAACGTGATTAAATTACCTTTATAAAACTTTTCTTGTTGTCTATTTATATAAATACTAGTTTTGTGCCCCGTGCATTGCCCGGGTTGTTTATTGAATTTCAAGATAAATATTTATATATGTATCAAATTTTAAAATATATCATTGATATTTTTTTCAATATAAATATAAATATATATATATATATATATATATATATATATATATATATATATATATATATATATATGTGGGGTTTGTTAAATATCGCCCTCAATTTTCTAACTAACGCCCGCAAAATGAAATTAAATTACGTATTTAAACTTATTATAACGATTATAAAAATAATTAATTTTACCTTAATTTCATACTTTTACTGGACACAAAATTTTTTACCGCTCTCTCTAGTGGTGAACGGCCACCGACCTTCATCGGACAACCACCCCAACCACCGTGAAATCAAACAAATATTATAAATTTTGCAAAATCAATTTCGTTAGATCTTATGGACAACAACAAAATACCAGAAACACAACCTTTAACGCTTGCCGAAGGCTCGTCGAACCGATCAGATGCGGTACGTTGCGTTAATTTTTTAAAAAAAATCGAAACCCAGAAAACGCCTAGGATTTTCGAATGACCTAGGCTGAAACGCCTAGTTTTTTCGAATATCCTAGGATGTTTCGAAAAAACTAGGCGTTTTAGCCTAGGTCATTCGAAAATCCTAGGCGTTTCCTGGGTTTCGATTTTTCTTTTTTTTTTTTAATTTTTTATTTCACGTATTGGTTGATTGTCATTGGATTTTATACTTTTGAAATTATTATTGTTATTAAAATTAGTTATTATTATTATTGTTATTGTTATTATTATTGTTATTGTCATTATTATGGTTGAAAGTTTTTTTTATAATTAGTTGTATTGTTATTGTTGTTATTACTGTTAGTCGTCTTCTTTGGTTCCAACTTTTATTAATATTTATATAGGATTCTGAGTCCGAGGATGGTGACGGTGTGGACTATAGTGGACATTTTTTGACAAACGAAGTTTTTCCGAGTTTTGAGGATGCTGTTCTATGGGCACAAAATGTTTGTCGACCGCTCGGATTTATGTCAGTGAAGGCTTCTTACAAGACCGATAAGAGTGGTCGACCGTATCGATATGTGAGTTGTGATCGTGGAAAAAAGGGCATGATAAGAGACATGATGAACGCGATACGCAAAGACACCAAAAGCAAGGCAAACAATTGTCCCTTCAAACTCAAGGTTGAGTATGTCAAAGTAGTAAATGGTTGGAAGCTTAGTTGCTTGAACGGAACTCACAATCATTCTTTGGTAGTTTATCCCGAGGGACATTGACAAATTAGTGGTCTTAGTATTGCTGCTAAGCAGGTAGTGCGTGACATGACTCGGGCACAGGTGCCACCTCGACATATCATGAGAACTCTTGTAGAAAAGTTTCCCGGAGACCATCCTAACATCAGGCATGTCTACAACTGCAGAAGTAAAATAAGAATGGAGCAATTTGAAGGAAGAGAAGTAGTTCACCAGGTGCTTCATTTGGCCAGATAGAGCAAATACCTCACTTGGGTTTTTACTGATTCCAACAATGTGTTTCAACATGCTTTCATGGCACACCCGATCATGACAAATTTGCTTTGCACATACCCGTACGTGATAGGTATGGATTCCACTTACAAGACGAATCGATACGGCATGCCATTCTTTGAGATTGTTGGGGTTACACCGACTAATCAAAACTTTCTTGTTGCATACACATTCATGAGGCCAGAGTCTCAGGAAAGTTATCGGTGGGTGCTTGAGGTTGTTGATCGGTTATCATAGAGAGCCATCGGTACTACTAACAGATAGGGAGCTTGGCCTTTGTGCAGCGTTGAAGAGTGTGTTTCCAAACACAAGACACATGTTGTGTGTGTGGCATATTAACAAAGATGTTGAGGCGAAGGTTACTTCCATGTTTGAAAAAAAAGGAGATTGGTGCCAAGTTCAAAAATGGGAGGTGGAGGCTTGTGATTAATGCTACATCTGAAGAGGCATATAACAGAGAACTTGCAGTGCTGAAAACCAAGTGGAGTCGATGGTCGAAAGTGATTGAATATGTTATGGACACTTGGCTCGTACACAAGGAGAAGTTTGTATTGTTTTGGACAAACCAGGTACTACACTTTGGCAATGTTAACAACTGCAGGGTTGAGAGCCAGCATTCAGCATTGAAGTGTTGGATTGACAGTTCAACAGGCTCTTTGGACACGGTTTGGGCTCAAGTGCACTGCTCGATTGAGAACAAGATCATAGCCATTCGTAATGGATTGGAGGCATGTAGAACAAGTCATGGTCAGAAGTACAAGCATAAGCCTTTACATCAGCTGAACGGAAAGGTATCCCACTATTGTCTGTCTATTCTTCTCGGTGAGACAAACAGAATGCGAGGGTTGAGTACGGATATTCATCGACGCTGTGGGTGTGCTCTACGGATATATCCAAGACTGGAGAAGAGTTAGACAACCCGCGATAGAATCACATCCATTTCGGGTGGCATGCCCGAGCTGACGATACAAGTACGCTAGTGTGGCTGAACCCCAGGAGTATCTCGTCAACCTCTCCAGGTTATGCTCCACAAACAACTCAGTGAGAAAAGAAGGGTGGGTACGACAACCGCTCTTGTCAGTAAAGAGCGTGTTACCCAAAAGGACCCACATGTAACCAATGACCTGAACCTCCTCTGTAGTCTCTACAGTACGACACCTATCAAAAATCTGGTCAGTATGGACGCCACCATTCCTATATATGGCAGTCTGAGTCTTGACCTGTAGCTCCTCTATAGTCAACTGTAACAACTCAGCTGCAAATGTCCTATACCGGTCACTAGATAGATCCTCGGCAACCATATCACCTTCAACCCGAATACCAAGTATGTGGTAAACGTCGTGCAACATGATGGTCATCTCACCAAAAGGTAGGTGGAAGGTGTTTGTATCTGGCTGCCATCTCTCCACAAAAGCAGAAATCAGCGGAAAATCAAGGTGGTCGTGCATAATGCTCGGCAGGTGCGACAACCCAGTCTGTCGTATCCGCGAAGCAGTGTCTGCCGTAAATCCCTCCATCCATTCACTCAACAATCTACACACACTAGCTCTAGTATGACACCGCAAAAATCATCGATCATGCCCGTCCCAAATATATCGAGAAACATGGGCCCCAAAACTAGGAATAACGGTCCCAACATCGGGTCCACCGTCCATCGGCCCCTGAACAAGCCAAGGCGCTACAAATCGAGGTGGTCGTGAACTCGTAAATCTCCCATCAGGACCTCTCGTCACGACAGTCGGCTGCTCCTCAGCATCAACATCAGCATCAACATCATCGTCCTCAGGTCCATCATCATCGTATCTCGAACCTGAACCCGAAACCGAGCTAGTAGTCCTCAACAAAGGATTAGGACCGGCTCCCTCCCGCTCATCCAAATAAGTCCCAGAACTACCCGCTTCTCTGTCGCGCTCCGGTAAAGAACTACCTTCCCGTATACTAATCCCCGGCCCTCTATCTCTCCTAACCGACGCGTTAATGCCGCGTGATCTAGCATGCCGTGGACCAGAACCCTCGACTACATTCAAAATTTAGAATAAAATGGCATTAATACTAACAAAATCAACCAACTAATATTTTTAATAATTAACAACTAAATATTCAAACTTTCAACCAAATAATAAACTAGTACACATATCATCCAATTAATTATAACAAAATCCAACAAATTTCTAATAATTAACAACTAAATATTCAAAATTTTAACCAAATAATAAACTAGTACACATATCATCCAATTATTTATAACAAAATCCAACAAATTTCTAATAATTAACAACTAAATATTCAAACTTTTAACCAAATAATAAACTAGTACACATATCATCCAATTATTTATAACAAAATCCAACAAACAATATTTCTACATTATTCCTTAGTTAGTCTTGCATTAGCCGACATAAAGTAATGATATAATACTAGTATCACCATCAACTATAAGAAAGAAGAAATAATGACCGAAACCAAACTATCATTACACATTCACGTTAATTCGAGAAATCTAAGGAACTTGCACATAGACTAATCAAATTGCCGATTTTAAAATTTCTATCGGTAAAAAAAAAAAAAGCTATCTTTCTAGTCAATTTTGGAGTAGGGTAAAGTCAACACAATCTTGAAGTAACGGAGCAAGCAACATTTAAAATCTAATCAAAACCCATTTTCCTACTCACATCTTTATAGTAGATAAAAAAAAAGGATCAACAACTATAGGAATATAAAAATCAGCCAATAACCATTGCTTATAGTATGAAAATCTGAAAAATGAAAAAGAATCAAGAATGCTCAACAAGTATTTTCATATAGATGAATTCGAAATCATATTTAATCCTCATCAACTATATATCAACACAAACCACCCAAAATATCAACAAAACTTCAAACTAAACATCACGAAAATTCTCAAAAAAAACTTCCAAGAAATTCTATACAGGCATCGAGATAGATAGTAATGGTTGGAACATCTACGAGGCTAATATCTAAAACAATAATAACTCTTAATCAATCCAACAGCACTTAAAGAAAATCCATTATATACAGAGTACAAATATTGTCAACAACGTCATTTCTCAAACACAATACAACTAACTACTACATATTTATAATCCGATTGTAAAGTCATATTAAAATGTATAGGGTGTGAATATATGAGCACAAAGCATAGATATCTCACTACTTTGTTACACAAGATGCTAAAACCATTTATGATTGAATTAAAATTAAAGCATTACAAAAATTAAATCTACACTAACAAATCCCAAAATCAACAACTAAAAACCAAGCAATTGAAGTCCTTCACTTTAGTTGATTAAAACCCAAAAATCTTGAACTTTAGTTGATTATTTAATTTCCAATTTCCAAACAGTTCTTAATAATAATAACAACAACGAATTTACAAATTGAAAGCCAAGCAATTAAAACCCAATACCAAAAAAAAAACGAATTTAAAAAAAAAAAAAAAAAAACCTAGGCAAACGCCCAGTTTTTTCGAACAACCATGGCTGAAACGCCTGGTTCGTGCGTACAACCGTGTGGTTGTACGAAAAAACTGGGCGTTTCACCTCAACCGCCCAAATTTTTCGTACAACCACACGGCTGTACGCACGAACTAGGCGTTTCAACTATGGTTGTGCGAAAAAATCAGGCGTTTGCCTGGATTTCAGAAAATAAAAAAAATAAAAAAATCTCAAACCTCTTCTCCGCCGGCAATTGACTTGCCTTTGTCCTTCCGCGGCATTATCACGGTGTAGATCGGCACTCAACCACTGCTCCGGCGCTTTTATCTGCGGTGATACTGGTGGCGGCGGTGGATGTTGTGGTGGTGGAGGTGGATGTGGTGGTGGTGGTTTGTTTAGAGAGAGAATGAGAGTGAGTAAGGAATGAGGGTTTTGTTGGGGGAGGGGGGTAATTTTGTTTGAGGGTTATTTTTTTTTTATAAAAAGGGTAAGATTGTAATTTTAATTTATTTTGCGGCCGTTAGTTAGATATTCGAGGGCGACGTTTAGCTTTCCACATATATATATATATATATATATATATATATATATATATATATATATATATATATATATATATATCATTGATACAAAATTAGTTAAGAATTGATGTGTTTTTGTGACGATTTGCTATCTAGTTACCATGTAATGAATAATAATAATAATAATAATAATAATAATAAATATTTGATGATGATACTACAATTAATAGCAAAAGGAACATTTATAGTATTCAATAATTTGTGGAATATTAAAAGAAAGGTGAATTTTCCTCAAAAAAAAACAAAAAAAAAGTGAATGTTAAAAATTTTACTGATAGAAAGTTTTATTTCGGAGAAATGAAGGAGTAAGAGGAGATAGAGGAACTGATAAGTATTGCTCGTTAAATTTCTCTTGCATGCCACTCTATATATAGCATGAGTATTCAACTAAGAGTACAATGACTTCATACATATAGACAATATGGGTTCACAAGGGTTGGACTCATATATGCATTGTAACATCAAATCAATTATTGTCATTCACATTGCCTTCTAACACTCCCCCTTGAATGCCCATACTTATACACAAAAGGTATTTGTTGCCTCATTAAAAACCTTGCTAGGTAAAACCCTTATGGGGTAAATACCATAGCTAGGGAAAAAGAGTACAACGATATAGTATTATATGCTTTGGTATACTGCCTCGTTAAAAACCTTGTCAGGAAAAACCCGGTGGGATAAAAACCTGATCGAAGGGAAAAAGAGTGCAGTACATATAATACTCCCCCTGATCTCAGCATAGTTCACGAAGATGTCGCATTCCGATTTTGTGAACTAACTGTTCAAATTTCTTCGAAGGAAGTGATTTGGTGAAAAGGTCGGCAAGATTTTCACAAGACTAAATTTGCTGGATATTTATTTCCTCGTCCTTTTGCAGATCATGTGTGAAGAACAGTTTTGGGGCAATATGTTTCGTTTTATCTCCCTTAATATATCCTTCAGTTACTTGAGCGATACATGCTGTATTGTCTTCAAAGATGATGGTTGGGTCTTCTGTTATTGCGTTCATTCCACACTCCTTTTGGATATTACTGATCATCGACCTCAGCCACACACATTCCCGTCCTGCTTCATAGAGGGCTATCAACTCTGCATGATTTGATGATGTCGCGGTCAATGTCTGCTTTGTTGATTTCCATGATATTGCAGTGCCGCCATAAGTGAATACATATCCATTTTGTGACTTGGCATTTTGAGGATCTGATAAGTATCCAGCGTCTGCATACCCAATGAGAGCAGCATCTTGTTTTGGTTGGTAATATAAACCAAGGTCTTGTGTCCCTCGTAGGTACCGGAGTAAGTGTCGAACTCCCTTCCAATGCCTATATGTTGGTGCATTGCTGTGCCTGGCTAACAAATTCACAAAGAAAGCTATGTCGGGTCTAGTATTGTTAGCTAAGTACATTAAGGCTCCAATTGCACTTAAGTATGGTACTTCTGGACCCAGAATCTCTTCATTTTCTTCTCGGGGTCTGAATGGATCATTTTTCATATTCAAAGAACGAACAACCATTGGGAAGTTGGTTGGGGTTGCTTTGTCCATGAAGAAACGTTTCAAAACTCTTTCTGTATAGTTTGATTGATGGACAAAAATTCCATGACTCAAGTGCTCAATTTGTAGTCCAAGGCAAAATTTAGTTTTCCCAAGGTCTTTCATCTCAAATTCTTTCATCAAGTATTTTGCAGTTTTCTCGAGTTCATTTGGGGTTCCGATGATATTTAAATCATCAACATAAACTGCAATGATAGTGAATCCTGATTGTGATCGCTTTATGAAAACACAGGGACTAACTTGGTTGTTTTTGAATCCTTCTCTCATAAGGTATTCACTCAGACGATTGTACCACATCCTTCTAGATTGTTTTAATCCATAAAGTGACCTTTTTAGTTTTATGGAAAGCAGTTGTCTAGGCTTGTGGTTTTCTGGTAGTTTTAGTCCTTCGGGGACTTTCATGTAAATGTCCGTATCGAGTGACCCATACAAATACGCAGTCACTACATCCATTAATCGCATTTGCAGTCCTTTTGTGACTGTCAAACTTACCAGAAATCTTAATGTAGTTGCATCAACCACTGGAGAATATGTTTCTTCATAATCAATCCCTGGAATTTGAGAAAATCCTTGGGCTACAAGTCTTGCCTTGTATCTAACTATTTCATTTTTCTCATTACGTTTTCTCACAAATACCCATTTGTATCCAACGGGTTTTACACCTGCTGGTGTAAGGGTTATTTTCCCAAAAACTTCTCGTTTTTCAAGTGACTTTAACTCAGTCAGCATTGCCTCCTTCCACTTTGGCCAATCACTCCTACGTCGACATTCTTCTACAGTTCTTGGTTCAACATCATTTTCATCAGACACGATGTCGATTGCGATGGAATTTGCAAATGTTTCATTAACAATAACATCTTTCCTATTCCACTGAGTCTTTGTAGAGACGTAATTCATTGAAATTTCATTGTTATCGATGTTTTGAACATCTTGTTCATTCCCCGTAGGGTTGTCTTCTTGTTCGTCCCCTTTTGGATTATCATCATTTTCTTTACTTTCATCCACATTTGGTTTTTCTTGACCTTCTGACGGGGGAACATCATTAGTCTCATTTTCTATTCCATCCAATCTTTTCAATTTTCTTGGCTTAGAATCTTTTGAACCAAGTGGTCTTCCACGCTTTCTGCGTGCCTGAGATTCATTTTCTATGGCCTTATTACCAGTTGGGATTTCAATACGTGCAGGGGCATTTTCTGCTGGTATATGTGATTTTGTCACCTTCTTTGTGTCCACAAATGCATCAGGCAATTGATTTGCAACACTTTGTAAATGAACAATTTTCTTGACTTCTTGTTCACACATATTTGTTCGTGGGTCTAACATCAACAGTTGTGTTGCATTCCAAATAAGTTCAATTTCTTTCTTACGTGGGTCCACTTTCTCTCCCCCTAAGGATGGGAATACTGTTTCATTAAAGTGACAGTCCGCAAATCTAGCCGTAAATAAGTCACCAGTCAATGGTTCAAGATATTTAATTATAGAGGGGGATTCAAACCCGACATAAATTCCCAACCTTCTTTGTGGACCCATTTTTGTTCGTTGGGGTGGAGCAATGGGAACATATACAACACAACCAAAGATTTTTAGATGTGAGATACTTGGTTCTCGACCACAAACAAGTTGTAGTGGTGAGAATTTATGATAAGCTGTAGGTCTCAATCTAATTAGCGCTGCTGCATGTATTATAGCATGTCCCCAAGCAAATGATGGCAATCTTGACCTCATTAATAATGGTCTTGCAATCAATTGTAATCTCTTAATTAGTGATTCAGCTAGACCATTTTGTGTATGAACATGAGCTACTAGGTGTTCAACATCAATTCCAATTGACATACAATAATCATTAAATGTTTGGGATGTAAATTCCCCAGCATTGTCAAGTCTTATTTTCTTTATTGTATGATCTGGGAATTGTTCTCTTAATTTGATGATTTGGGCAAGTAATTTTGCAAAGGCAACATTTCTACTTGAAAGTAGACTAACATGTGACCATCGTGTTGAGGCATCAATTAAAACCATGAAATATCGAAATGGTCCACATGCTGGATTAATTGGCCCACATATGTCTCCCTGAATTCTTTCCAAGAATTTTGGAGATTCAGTAGCAATTTTGTTCATAGATGGCCTTATTATTAATTTTCCAAGTGAACATGCAGAGCATGTTAATTCATCTGATCGGGGAATTTTGACATTTCTTATTGAATGTCCAACTGAATGTGCTATTATTCTTTGCATCATCCCAGTTGCTGGATGTCCCAAACGATCATGCCATAAAATAATCAAATGTTTGTCATCTAACTTCTGGTTAGATACCATATTGATTTCCACGGGTCGTATGTTTATACGATATAACCCCGAAGAGTATGCTGGCAATTTCTCATATATATGTTTCTTGCCATGTTTTTCTGCCGTGAGGCATATATACTCTTTTTGATCTGTTGTCATTGTTTCTAGATGATAGCCATTTTGGCGTACATCTTTAAAGCTTATGAGATTTCTTCGAGATTTACTCGAATATAAAGCATTATTGATTATTAATTTTGTTCCATTTGGAAGCATTATACAAGCCTTTCCAGATCCTTCAATTAATTTAGCTGACCCGGAAATGGTGTTTACATTTGCTTGAAACAACTTTAGTTGTGAAAAATATTTTCTATCTTTTAAGATAGTATGTGTTGTTCCACTGTCCAAAAGGCATTGATATTCGGAACTAACTTCAGGTAGATCCATATCTTCATAAAATAAATTTGAGATTAGTTTAGAATAATATCATACAAACTTTTATTGATGATAGAGATTTAAAGTACATGACTAGAAATTTAAAATACAGGGAACTAAGAAAATACATTAAAACATAGCATATGTTACATTAGTAGATGAGAAACCTAAGTATTGTTGTTTTCTCCAAGAATGAAATCATTTCCAATTTCAGCATTATCCATGAAATAATCAGACACATCAAGGCTGGGACAAGGAGCATTTTCCTCATTAACATAATTTGCTTCTGCATTTTTCTCTTTGCCTTTTACAGAAGCCTGGTAAAGGTCTACCAAATGTTTGGCCGTTCGACAAGTACGTCCCCAATGTCCTGTCATGCCACATCTGTAACATGTGTCTTTTCCTTTCGAAGGAGTTTGTTTGTGGCTTCCATATGACTGTCCCTTCTGTTTTTCAAAATTTTTGAAATTACTGTTTCTTTGAAAATTATTTCTACCACGACCACGGCCGCGTCCGCGATAATTTCCACGGCCTCTTCCACGGCCATTGTAATTTCCACGTCCACCTCTTCTTGTAGCATTTGACTCGGGTGGATAGGAATTTGTTGCATTTGCCTCATGATGAGTGGCCAAAGACCCAGTTGGTCTCAGGTTATGATTTTTCAACAAAAGTTCACTATTTTGTTCCGCAACAAGCAATATACTCATTAATTCATTGAACTTTTTAAAACCTCTTTCACGATACTGTTCTTGCAACAGTATGTTACTTGCATGAAAGGTAATGAGTGTTTTTTCAATCATCTGTTCATCTGTAACCGGATGATCACAGTATCTCAATATAGACACTATCTCATGTATGGTTGAATTATAATCAATTACAAATTTGAAATCCTGGAACCGTAAATTTGTCCAATCAAATAATGCCTTAGGCAGGAGCACCCTTTTGTGGTGTCCAAATCTTTCATTAAGGCAATCCCATAATTCTTTGGGATTTTCAACCATCATGTACTCAGTTTTAAGGCATTCATGTAAATGATGCCTTAACAACACTAAGGCTTTTGCCTTATCTTGTTCAGTGATAGGTTTTTCAACCGTCATTGCAGAAGAGGTAGCATCAGTTGTTTGACCAGAGGGACTTTTATTTTCTTTAACAGTGTGCTCCAAACCTTGAGCTTTCAAATTCATCATTGCATCCACTTTCCATTCCAGAAATTTCTTTCCAGATAAATCTAAGATGCTGAACTGTCTTTTCATAAGGTCTCCCATTTTAGCTACAACAAATTTCATGATAATTAGATTATAATAACAAATTATATGTACAACTCGCATGTTTAGTTCTTCCATATTTATAATTAAGTTAATAAGACACGTGATAATTAAATTTAATAATAATAAACCATAAATAATATAGTCTTTTCTCCCCCTTGGTTTATTATTGTGAGTAATTATATGATTAGACAAAAATTAATCATGTTAGTTGCAAAAAAAAACAGCAAAACGACAACAATGACAGTAGTAACAATAATTATAATGATAACGGTAATATTATACAATGATGATTAATAACAACAAACAACATAATAAAACAAAAACAAGTTTTTAATATACTAAAACGACAAAATAAGTGAGTTTTACTTATACATAATGACAAAAATTAATATTGCTACTAATAGAACTACAAGTGCCGTAATTAGAAGAAAATATTGTTTTATCTTCCTTAAATCTTCTTCAAAAGTGAAGTTGTGGGTGTTTTGGTTGCCGTCGTCGGGGAACATATCGGAGAAGAAGGGGGTGAAAAAAAAAATTTAGGTGATTTTTGGATAAAAAGTGGGAGGAGATAAAGGATTTGTGGTGAAATTGGGGAAAAATCCGTCTTTTATAGAGGTAGGTTTATCCGTTACTGTTCTGTACAACTGTAAAAATATCATATAATAGTCTAACGTACTGGCATAAAATTATGGTCCATATATATATATTTATAATTGTAAAAGGTTATCACACTGGGAATGCAAGCCATAGTGGTCCGAGAGCCCTAATATCTATAAAAGATCATGGGTTCGAAAACGGAAAGAAACACAAAAAAGTATGTAAAAGTAAGAAAAATAATAAGTATAAAAAGGCTGCATCTTTTTGTTAATCTAGTTAATAATAATATGCATGCAAAGCTACTACTTAGCAATTAGAATAACTAAGATAAAAATTTACGTAAAATGAGTATGTAATATCAACATGGATCAAACAAAGAAACATCAACATGAATAAACAAAAGATGATAGTAGTAAATTCACAAGTAAGAGATCTTTCACCGTTGTTTTTTTTTTTTTTTGAGGTATATATAGTAAATGTTTGAGTTTCTTTTATAGAGGATCCCAAATATGGGCAACTATAGAGCATACTCCTCGAAACAGTTAGAAGTAGATAGTATTATTTTGTTATAAATTTTTATAAGTAGGTATAAATATACCTGACTGAAAACTGGTGCTGATAACGTGTTAAAAATTTTACTAATAGAAAGTTTTATTTCGGAGAAATGAAGGAGTAAGAGGAGATAGAGGAACTGATAAGTATTGCTCGTTAAATTTCTCTTGCATGCCACTCTATATATAGCATGAGTATTCAACTAAGAGTACAATGACTTCATACATATAGACAATATGGGTTCACAAGGGTTGGACTCATATATGCATTGTAACATCAAATCAATTATTGGCATTCACATTGCCTTCTAATAGTGAATTGATTAAAAGTGAAAATAAGATATTAACATTTGTAGTATGCATAAGGAACAACAAGGAAGCAACAAGAAGAACAAAAAGGAACTAAGGGAGAAGCAATTTAACGTATCAAAAGATTATCAGCATTCAAATTTACAAAATAAGCTTCAATTTCCAGGCTAATGTAAGTCAGGGCATGTTTAGGGCCCCCGTGACCTCTAACCAAATGCAAATCCTCAGACATACATTCCATACCCATACTAACCCTCAATGTGTAAGCAACTGTTTTTGGTGTTCTGTAAAATGGGGCGGTGAACTTGAACTTTTTGACCTCGTCAAGACCTCCATATTCTTCCATGTCTAAGAAAACAAACTCAGATACCTTGTCATCTAAGACAATCTTAAGCCATAGTCTATGTTCATTAGTCACGTTATAGAGAGTAATGTCCAGGGGTATACTGACAGGCAATCCTGAGATGAAGCGCAAAGGACTTACTGAGTCAAAGCCAAGAACAACAAGCTCTGCACTGATGTGTCTGATTTCTTCAGTGAGTACCATGTCTTTGAGTATAAATAAGTCACGCAGTTTTTTCAACTGAAATTGATCACCAGTTGCATCAAGAGAGAAACTGCCATTGGACGATAGTTCTGCAAGTAGGTTCACAAAGTCCGAACATGCAATGGATTTTGCATCCCGTAAGTGGCACACCGAAGCAACCATAGTAGATAATTTCTGTAAGGTTTTGCAATGCATGCGAGAGCTTGAAAATTGCAGCAGATAGTTGAGAAGCAACAACTCCATTATAATAAGCTCAACATCTTTACTCAACCCAATGAACCCGTATCTGATAGCTAGAATCGCTTTGTCAAGTTTCCCAAGTAGCAAGTCCAAGTCGCCCAATTGATACAAATGACAATTTTTGGAAACCTCAAAGTGTCTCCATACCCTCGTGAGAAGCTTCACTATATGGATATATTGGAAGGCAAAAGCTATTGCACCAGCATATGCAAAAGAGCCAGGCCTTACAGCTGCAAGAGATTCTTTACAACACCTGAGAAAACACAAAGTTTGCCAAGTTCTCAATTCCAAGGGAGAGAGAGCAACAAACAGTCTAATATGCAATCACTAGGGTAAATTTGTGAACACCATACCACCTCCTCAAATACTTGATGCTAGAAGGTACAAAAAATGTGAACTTAGTTACTAGTGAGTGCCTGCTAATGCAAATACAGGAATAACTTACAAGAGGAGCAAAACTTGCCAAATATGCAACAGAGGAAAGAGCATGAACAGCAGAACAAGAAACTGCTTACAACAGCGTACAAAAAACCAAAAGTTAAGACAGGCTAATAAAGAAAACAAAACCATTGCAGAAGCTTCACAAGAGTTCAGACACCACAAATTTACAAGGGTGCGATAACGTCAATACATGCAAGTTATCCAAATCCTAGACGACAAGTGAACAAGTACAAAACCATTAACGACCATTTTGACTAATACCATTATCCCCATGCCTATAACATAGACCTAGAAAGTGGATATATAATGGAAAAATGGATATTAAGATATGTGTGCCTTTTTCGTGGCTCATACCATTAGTCTATAAGTTCACATCATATAACAATTAAATGTTGGTCTACACGAGAAATTTTTATTTTTAATCCAAGAGTGATAAAAGGTAACAAAATGGCACAAAGCAATTGCCTTATTGATCTCCTTCGAACTCAAACAGTTGAGCTCAAAATGGCAAAGGTCATCTAAGAACACTCTCTCTTTACAAAAATTATTACTTGTCAGAACCAAACAAAATCAGACTGGATCAGATCAAATATTCAGACCAGATAACACTTCCATTAGTTCCATTTATTTATTACTGTCTTTGTTTCTGAAAGTTCTTAACACTTTTGACGTTGGCTTTATTCACAAATATCACCTTAACCATCATACATATACATGTGGGGTCATCATAGATCGTCTCAATATGAAGTTTCAGAATATCAATCTTTTATAATATTTACAAATAAATTATTAGAGATATTAATAATCTAAGTTTTACATTGACAAGCTTGAAAGAATACAGTGTCACGAATTTTCATAAACGGGGGTAGTACAAGATATCTTTTATTGCATATTAATTAAAAAAAATATGAACAAACTTGGAAATGAAGCGAACAAGATCCCAATTTATACTGTTTTTTCTTAGTGTTGTAATAATATGGTCAAAGAGTTTAGTCACACCAGATCACCAGACCTTAACAAAATCATATCTAAACACCCTATTTCAGGTGATGAGAGCATATACTAAGCTGATGAAAGGATCAATGATCATGCATATAATTAATTCCCTTTTCCCATCCCCTCCCTCCCCCAGACTACTATTTCAAATTTTAAGAAAAGGGGGGTGGGGGGGGGGTGGAGAGAAGGCACAAGTGTGATCAAGGTCAAAAAAAGGCACAAGAGTGATCCCCTTCTGTTCACTTCTATATCACACTTTCAAACTCAAAATGGCAAAATATACTCCCCACACCAATAAAAAATCTCTTGTATGTTTCAACAATGATGCCAGTCTACTATTCTCTCTATCCTTTCTCATTTGATCCTGTTCTAAGGGTGTACTTGAAATAGTTTGTTTCCATCAGCATTCAATCCTGAACTATTTCCATCATACTAAGCTTGAATAGAAAGATCATACAGAACGAAAAGAGCTCAAAGAAACAAAAGGCACAAAGTTCCATCCTCACACACCTTAAAGCCTTAAACACTTCATTTGTATATCCACATTTTACCAGCGGCCATAACCTCTTCACTGTTGCAAGAACAATTTGTATTGCACTGAAGACATGCACAGGTGTTTCCTGCTGACCTTTTGCAGCTGGAAGTACCTCTGGTTGAGCCCTGGTTTCAGACTGTACCTCAAATTGGTGCTCAGCTATTTAACAAAATTAAAAAATTAAAAAAAAAAAATTTGACAAGGCATCACTTAGATTCTAAATTGGCCAATGTTCAAGCAAGTATGACAATTTGATATACCGCAGCAAGACAGGTAGGCCAAAAGGGAATCAATATCCAAAATATCACCAAGAGCATAAGCAATCCGCCCAAAGTATGCAGCTGCATACGAAAATATCCTTGGTGGAATTTGATGAAAGTGCTCTTCGTGTTTGAGGGAAGCTGAAATAGCCAAGACTGACATTCCAGCAATTCTTGAGCCATAAAAGCCAGATTTTTCATCATTGGAAGGCTTAATCTGAAGGATACAGCACACTCTGTCAGAAAAGTAGTTGTGGTGCAAAATTTTAGAAGAGAGTGAAGGGGAACACATCCTACGCATAAGCCATGTGCAATGAATAACAAGAGCACATCCGTAACAAGCAAAAAAATGAAGTATGGCAACACATCATCTTTATTGATGGGAAATATTACTTAAATACTAATTTTCACTTCTGTAAACACATGGTTATACACTCATTTATGATCCAGTGATCCACCAACCTACTACTTATGTCACAGATGATAACTTCTGGCCTTTTAATGTTGTATCCTGGACAAGAAGATAGACGAACAAACACAGCACTTCTAAGAGAAAAAATTTCAGCTAATACATTAGGCTTCAACTGAGACAGGATTAGTTCCCTCATCGAAGGCCAAAGTACCAAGATAAAATCCAATTACAGAACACTGGACAAGCAAGGAATGCATAGGCATAAGGTGGCTTTAGACAGGACATAAAGAGGACATCAAACCTCAGCATAACTTACACCATCTTACACATAACCTCTACATAATTTCTCCCGCCTTACATGCATCCAACAACCAAAAATCAAATACTTGTTTAAACAGCTTATAAGAGAGAAGTTATGAAGTAACAGATTGTACACAGAAAAAAAGCAGTGACTTCACTTATTCGGTTTTTAATCAGTTCTGCTCAATTAAAACCAGGTTCATTAGTAAACATATTCACTTCAGTGAGAATCAGGTGAAGAGAAAGGACCTAAATTTGATTAGTTGTAGCACTATGTACAGAAGATACGCATAATGATGACTGAAAAAATGCTAACCTCGTTATAATGGTCCTTGACAATCCTGACTGCAAATTTGCCATGATTTTGACCTATATTGAACAATGTACGAAAGATTTCGGCTTCACTCTGGAACATTACAGGAAACCCAATAAATTAAAAAAGAATGACAGGAAGATTAAACAATGAAGAATCAAATGAAGCAATACATAGTGTTAATATGACATGACTTAACAACCTTAGGATAGATGTCCAGACTTCTAAAGAGGCTTTCAACAGTTAATTTGGACACTTTCAGGTCAGGCAATTTAACTGATCCAAGCAAATCAAAGGCTCTGGATCTTATCTGGGAGTTCCTGTCAACAAGGGTACCAAGCACCTGCAATAAGGACAAATGAGAGATTGTTTTAACTCTGAATTCCATAAATAACACAGCATAGCATATCGAAAAACACATGCAGATTATATTAACTTAGTACAAGCAACAGGATATGCTGGCAAACAGAATCTACATGCCAGAAAAGTTACATATGCAATAGAACACAAAATAATGAGATTAGCAACAAGCATAGCTGTATAGAGCGCCAATAACAAATAAATCTAGAACAAGCACAAAGCAAAGCATTCATGCTTGAGACATTACACGCAGTTCAGTCACCCTCCCCCCACCGCAATAAGAATAAGATATCAATAGGCCAAGAAGAAGTAATCATTGTACAAAATACGCTACAGGTCTGGAATTAAAAAATGACATTAGGAAGGTATGGTTTGGACATTGATTCTTATTAGTATGTTTGGTACATTTCAAAAATGAATTCTGATTCCCAATTATGCTGTTTGGTTGAGCCATGACAGTAAAGGAACAATAATACAAAGTATATGTTTCCCTAATTAAGTACTTTGTATATTATAAAGGAAAAATTGACAGAAATATTATGACCTTTGCCCGTTCCGCCATAAATAAAACCACCTTTTGATAATCCCCCAATAAAACGACCTTTGCACATCATCTTCCAAAAATAGGATAAAAAACCGGTGACTTGTTTAATAGGTTATGGAAAGACACATGTCACATCATAATTGGTTAGATTTTTAATTTCAATTTTAACATATATATATATATATAGGGGGAGGCTCTCGTGAGAAATTTTCTTATGTGAGAATTTTTCTTATGTGAGAACACTCTTTATGTTCTAAATTTTTACTCGTATGTTCTAAATTTTAAATCTGATGTTCTAAACTTTTCCTTAGGTGTTCTAAATTAAATCAAGTGTTCAAATTTAGTACTCACATGTTCTAAACCATATATTAGTTAAGTTTAATATCATAAATTTTTAAATAACTTGTTCCAAAATTTTAACTTATATGTTCTAAATTTTAAAATGTGTGTTCTAAGATTTTTAATTATATGTTCCAAATTTTAAAGTGTATGTTCTATTTTTTTATTCGTATGTTTTAAATTTTTTACTCACACTTTCTATATTCTATATCAGTTTGTTCTAAATTTTTATTCACATGTTCATAATCTTAAGCAGATGTTCTAAATTTTACTCATATGTTTAAAATTTCATAAAGTAGATTTTATAAATTTTTAATCACTTGTTCTAATTCTTAAATCAAATGTTCTAAACATATAACTCAGATGTTCTAAATTTTAATTTTAGACACATGTTCTAAATTTTTACTCGTATGTTCTAAACTTTTACTCACATGTTCTAAATTTAAAATCAGTTCTCATATAAGTATGAATTCTCACATATGAACCTATTCTCACCGGATCCCTCCCCTATATATATATATATTTGATTTTAATAATAATAATAATAATAAATAAATAAATAAAAACTCACCCTCACCACCACTTCTTCACCGTGAACACCCCATTGCCATGGAAGCTCTTACCATGGAAGCTCCACTGACCTCTACCATGAAAGCTCTGCACTGAAACCCAAACCCCACCTGGTCACAAACTCGAAAGCTTTCTCCAGCTGTCCCACCACCAATCCAACACCCTCTTTAAAATCTCCTGCTTCCCATTCAACAAGGCGTCATCAACAACTCGCCATTTAGCCTCGTCGACCGCCGCAGCGCCATAATCCCCTCCAGTTCAACCCTCCCATCTCCGACCATGACCCTCGCCAATCTTTGAAACCCTCCCCATCTCCACCCCTTTTTAATGGGTTTCAATTACGGTGGCCGGTGGGTAAGGTTTTGGGCTAGTGGTGGTGGGATTGGGGACTGGGGTTTTGGGGTTAGTGGTGTTGGGTGCAAAGTGGGTAGTCGGAAAAAGGATTTCGGCAGGGTGGTCGGTGAAGGGGTTCCGGGAAGGTGGTGGGTGGGGTAGGGTCGCTGATGACGGAGTGGGAGGTGGCTGTTGGGGGTTTTTGTTGTTTTTTTTTTTTTTTTTTGAGTTAAAACCAATTTATTCATAAGAAAATTGTAAAAAAAATAAAATAAAAAAATAAAAATAAAAAAAACTTACCAATTTCAAAGTGACACATGTCATATTAACCTATTAAACTGGTTACCAACCGGTTTCGTCCTATTTTTTGGAAGATCAATGTTAAAGGTCGTTTTATTGGGGGATTATCAAAAGGTGGTTATATTTATGGCGGACTGAGCAAAGGTCATAATATTCATGTCAATTTTTCCTATTATAAAAGGAAAAGAAAAACTGTCAAAATTCTAAATATAAATAAGTGTTTTTTTTTAAGCCTTCCAGATCGAGTACAGACAAATAACCGGGTCAAAACACAAAATTTACGAATGGTGATTGAGAATGTAAACCAAGCCCAAGATCCAAGCCTACTACTTCCGGAGCTTCGGTTATGGACTATATTTTTGTCAATCTGGCAGAACTATAAAGTTTTTTTGGTGGTTACTTATCCAGTTATCCATAAAGAGAATTTTTTTGCGTCAGAATTACTTTACCACTACTACGAAAGTCTTTCTAGAAGTGAAGACTGGTTGCTAAAAAACTAGTTAGCACAACTAATTGATGAACAACAGCTTCTCACTGAAAGCTAAAAAAGTTGGTTAGATTAAATTTGTCCCACAAAACAAGTTGTTTGTTGGCACTTAGAATATGTTTGGATAGAGGGAAATGGAGGGATGCATCCTCCCTTGTTTGGATACCTAATACAAGGAGGGAAGGGGAGGGAATTGGAAGGATATATTTTCCCTCTACTTTTAATGAATCAAATCCCTCCATTGTTGAAGAGATTTGGAAGGAAAATGGAAGGTCTGCTTCTCCCTCCCCTCACCTCCCTTTCCCTTCCCTCTTTTTCCTTCCCCTCCCTTTCTCTACACTATTGTTATCCAAACATAGTGTTATTGTTTGATTCCATTGAGAATAGGACCTTCGTTAGATGTAACTCCATGTCCATGCTTTGGTAAGAAAATAGTACATGATTTCCATATGATGGTTTACAAAATTAAAAAGTTGATATCATAAGCAGTAAACTTTAAGAACTTGTAGGGAGCATTAGCTAGCTCCTAGCTTTAATAACAAACTAAAACTTTGTGGAACTCCCTATAATATTTAGAGAGAAGGGTATTCACTATAAATTGCAAGACAGCGTAAATTGTTTATCAAGCTTGTTAATCCAAGACCTTCACATTCAACTTTTGTAAACATCGTAATGTTACATTGTAAAAAACTTGAATCCTATAAAAATCCCATGTACCAGAGAGCAAGCCTTTGCACCTTTTCATTGATAGGCTCAACCGCATTCAAAAGGCGCACTCAGGCACGCCTAAGCCCAGGCGTAAGGTGCAGCACCAGTAAGTAAGACACTGGTTTGCGTCTAGTTTGCGCCATGTCTGCAAACTAGTGTCTTACCTAAACCTACAGGTGCTGCACCTTAGGCCTGGGCTAAGGTGGGCTTATTACATAAAAGGAGAGTAATATAATTTTAAACAAAAGAAGGTTATCTCAGAGCAATATACCTCATGTTAAAAAAAAACCTAAAATGTTTATGGTAGTATAAAAAGCATACCATATCTATATGTGCCTCTTTCATCACTACACATCCAGAAATTGCCATGCAATGGATTGTCTTTAATGCCTCTAACCTGGCAATAACCGAGTCGTCATTCAGAACATAGCTCAATATATTAACCGCATCAGGAGCAAATCGACCAGAGATGACACAAAGCATTTGCAAGGAGATACATGCAACCCGTTGTACCTTCAGGATAGCCATACATATTACACAGGGTCAGCTAGTGGCATGATGGGAAACATATTTAACATCAGAATGTGCAGTCCCTCCATCCCAAACAATTGTCTTACAACCAATTCTACAACTTTTGTTAAAATTGTTTGGGCAGTTTAAAATGGCCAAGTAATTTTGGGTGTAAAAAAAATAAATAATAAAATTAATAAAAAAAATAAATATGAAGTACAGTGAACAAAAACAAAAGGAAGCCATCAAAAATTGGCATTAATAAAACCTAAAATATATTCCCACTATTCCATTTTCATCACTGTTGTCTAAGACTGCACAATTTTTTTTAAAAGCTGGTTATTGAAATTGAAATCAAGAGTGGCAATTTGTAATGCACTAGATGAAGCCCGCACGGTTTGTTAGCATTTTTTTACAAAAAATATTTTTCATATTTATGTGATTAAAATTGTTATTATATTAGTTTTAAAATATTAGATAAAATTCCTAATCTCAAAAGATAATATTTTGTATTTAATTAATTTAAACTTTAAAATTTCATTCGCCAATTTTGCTTACGTGGCATTTGAATTATTTAATTGGATACCACTTAAATTTATAATCCTACATGGCGTGCTAAGAAAATTAAATCCTACGTGGCTCTCTAAATACTCGGGGAAAAAATCTCCCCTTTAAACATATATATTAGATTAGATTAGATTTGTATATTAAATGAACATATAATTGTCCAGTTGAGAAACGCATAATATGGAATGAAAAAAGTTACTCCTACCAAATCACAATATCTTCCACAGAGAAATGTCAGGCTTTTTTATACAGCACAGTGATGAGTAGAGAGAGAGAGAGAACAACGAGATATATTTCCCATACGGTGAGGAGAGAGAGAAAGAGGAAACCACTTGCTAGAAAAGGAATGTCAACTTTCTTTTACCAAATCCAAAACTGGAAGCATTAAAGTTATTATTAAAGTAGGTAGTAGCTAAGAGGTCAGATAACATGATATAAAGCGAGAGAGACACTAGTTTTTCATGGACATAAATGCCTTTGTAACAATTGGTGAATAGAATATCATTTGGCTAGGCTACGCTCTAAAGTTTGTAAATGCATTAGTTTAGGATTAGCTTAAAAAAAACATGAAGTAATACAAATTACTGAATTAGAACACAACCAAAATTTTGCAATTACCTCGCTGTATTCATCCTCTAGACCATGAATAAATGCACCAGCAGCAACACCAGCATGAATTTCATGTGATTTTGAGCTAAACAGAGCTAAGGATTGTTTCACTTTAATTGCTTCGTCAACCTTTTTGTTAAGGGTCTGCGACAAAATATCTTCAGATACATAAGTAATTTTTCCCAGGGCAGTAAAAGCCTCCACCCTGACTCCCACATTCATATCTCTGACCATAGAACATATCTGTGAAGCCAAACCAAGCAAAACTTTGTTAGCAGATCTATGAAGAAAACAATTAATGGCAGTTACAGGATGGCACCCACTAAAGACATAATGAGGAGATGAGTACCATGATCACCACAAATACAAGACAAAAAAAAAGGATTAAAAAAAAAAAAAAAGCATTCCTCTACTCATTAGCCCACATCACAACCTACAATAGGCAAGGGCTGACTACATCACAGTGAGTCACAACATCAGTCATCAGGCCAATGAGGCATCAGGGTGCCTTTGAAATAGATTTGTTGAAGATAGCAACATGGTGATTCATGTATTGCAACGTAAAACACAATCAAAGCAAAACAAAACCAAATAAGTTTAGATATAGGACGATACAGATCAGTTGTAACTTAAAATGCCTCGGTGATTAAACGTCCAACCATTTAAGCTTATCAAAATCATTAATCTGTTTTGTTTTAGTCCAGAGTTCAGGAGTTACAAATAGAGATGCTGTAGGGCACCATGTACATTAAGAACTCAGGGTAGAGTTCAACTTCCAGGACCAAATTACAGCCCCTCACAGTTTTTTCATCTCAAAGAAGCATCTCAACTAAAAATATAGGAAGTCAGGATCCAATATCCCCAAAGTTCCAGCTTTATCAACCTAAAACATGTAGAGCATGTTTGGAAACTGATTCAATAAAACATTACCATTTCCAAGTGTTTTGGTAATAAGGTTTGGGTAACAATTATCATTACCTAGGGATAATAGTTTCCACCTAGTTGTTACCTCTCTAAAACAAAAGGTATTAATTACCATTACCCTCCTCAAACACAAAAAAATTCCGGCTTCTCTCTCTCACTTCCAAAAATTTCATTTTCTCTCTTTTCAGCTCTCTACCTCATCAAATGTTATCTTGCAAGTGATTCCTTTCACGAGAAGAAAGGGAGTTCAATTTAAGTGATTCATTTCCACGATTAAACCAAACAAATGAAAAGGTAAGAGTTTGATAGTTTCTTTCCCTCTCTTAATTGTTTCCTTTCCATTCTGTTTTCAAAGTTTGTATCAAATGCCTCTATAGAAGATACAGAACAAACTCAAACCAGATGTAACAATTTTTTTTTTATCTATAGTTTGCGGCTATAGACTACTCTAGGCTTGTAGAGGGTTAAAGAACCTGTAGATCATTTATTTCAGAATCATTTGAAATATTTTGATAAAAAGATGTGGGTGAAAGGATAGAATTATTTGAAATTTTTTTATAAAAAGATGTGGATGAAAAGATAGAAAAATACATGTATTAACAATCACAAGTGCGGACAAATAGGTATTTCATGTGCCATTATGTAGATATACTCCTCATAAAAATTATTGTTAAATAATAAAACATATATCCTATTTAGTCCAAGTAATTATGCAACTAACTTACAAATACAGAGGCTGGTAAATGGTTTTTCTTAGCATTATAAACTCCTTCAAAGAAAGATACATAAAGTCGATAGCCAATCAAGCATTACAACTAAATATTGAAAGGCTTTTATACTAAAGAAATTCTCCTATGTCACAACATTACTGCTGCACAAATCTATGCTGCAGCACTAGCAGCAACAGAACACCCAAGTAAACATCACAAAGACTACCAAGTAAACATCACAAAGACTACCAAACATACATATTGAATTACTTAGGTCATGTACCAGCAAAAATACACCATCTGAACAGTCTCTCCTATCTTCTTCCTCTTCCTTAGATGCAGCAAGCATGCACCCCCACGTTCTTACCTGAAATATAGATAAATAAATAAATATATTATTCATGGGATTCAATCACTCCTAGTATTGTTAGTTGTCACTATACCCCCTCCCTTCTTAGTTGTGGCAACCAGTGCCCGAACTGCTGAAAACATCTACCACACACGAAAAGTCGAAAACGCACCTGAATTATGCTCTCTTTCTTTCAATTCTCCACAACTTACTTAATGGCTCCAAATATACCACATTTTAAGGCAATATATGTATTTTGTATTCTAATAACTATTAAAGCTAAATTGTGAGTCTTGCACCTAACATGATACCACATTACTATTATTCCAACATATAAACCACAAAAAACAATCAAATGAGTGTGTGAATAGTGTCAAATTCCAAACGTTGCAATTAAAAAAAACGGAGGAAGTAATAACTCACTGCACGAAGAGCAGCCAAGCGAACATAATCATGTTGATCAAGAAGAAGCTCAACGGCACGAAAATAACACCCTTCAACAATCTCAGAATCCTCAACCACAACCCCAGAATGACAAACACCCACCAACCCCTCCAACGCAGCTTGACGAACACAAGGGTAAGGATCCTTAGTAAACCCTAGCATAACCGGCAGCAACAAATTGGGAGGAATCGATAACTTGATCACATTATTCAAAACCCAAACCCGAGCCGAAACGCTCGGGCGGAAACACAGAGAGATGACAAGACTGTGATCGAGGGAGTCGGCGGCGGAGAGTGAGGCGAGAAGAGAGAGTGCGGCGGCGGCGGCGATGGCGGAGGAAGTGGGGTCGGAGAGGAGGGAGGTGGTGAGAGAGGGGAGAGTGGAGGAGAGAGAAGAGGAGAAGGGAGGGTGGTGGAGATGGAGGGAGTGGAGGAGAGAGAAAATGTGGTGGTTGAGAAGGAGGGAGGGGGAGTTGGTAAGGGTTTCGAGGATGGCGGAGATGGTGGAGGGTGTGGTTGAGGGGTTGGTGATGAGGGTTTGGAGTTGTGAGAGGAGTTGCAGAGAGAGGGTGTTGGTGTTGGTGGTGGTGAGGTTTTTCTGGGTTTCCCGCCATAGTTGTTGCTCCATTTTTGCTCACTGGATTAACAGTTCATCTTGTTTTTAGAGGCAAAACGCTAAAACGCCTGAGATTTTCAAAGCGTTTCTCACTAGGAATTTCGGTGTTTTTTTTTTTTTTTTTTTTAAGTTGGGCGATTTACTTTTAATAATCTCAAAGAAGGTTTATTATTATTTAATAATCTAAACTATGTTATGTGTTTGCCTACAATAGTCTCAACGGTCAACAACAAGTCAATAACTTGTTATAGCAAGTTATCATGACACGTGTCAATTGGTCCAAAATTTAAAATTAAAAAAAAATAATAATAATAATAATAATTGTTGCCTACCTTAAGTCCTTAACCTCCACCACTCTAACTCCTAACCTACACTGCACCAACTAACCAATATCGCCATCCCCTGCTCCCTCAAAACCCAGGCAGTAGCCTTGACTTCATAACATCGCCATCACCAACACAAGATTGGTCCTAAATAAATAAAAAAACATTAAAAAAATAAAAAAAAAAAAACCCTAATTGTTGCCTACCTTAACCTCCACCACTCTAACTGCTAACCTACACCGCACCACCAACCAATATCGCCATCCCCTGCTCCCTCCAAACCCAAGTAGCAGCCCTGACAACCAGAGCACAACCCTCCTCCACCTCGCAGCCGCTACACACATCAAACCACCACCACCTCCAACTCCAACCACCATTAGAGCAACTACAGACGCAACTCCAGCCACCAACACAGTAGCGGCAACCGCAACTAACTTCAGCCACTAGGAACAACACAGCAACCACAAAATTTCCCTAATTGCGACCGGCGGTGGTAAGACGACGATGTTGTGTCCGGCTTGTTGTGGAGATGGAATTGGAGTCTCCTCCGATTGAATGATGTCGTTGCCATTGTTGATGAGGAGAGAGAAATTGAGAGAGTTGAATTAGGGTCGGGGAGGGGTGGGTGGGTGATTTTGGGGATCGGGGAGGGCTGGGTGGGTGATTTCTAAGGTCGGGGATGGGTGGTAGAGGTCGGCTGGCCGTTTTTGGTGATAAAGGGGGTTGTTGGGTGGTTTCTGATGAGGTTAGAGGGTGGAGAGAGGGTTCCGGAGAGGTCAGGGGGTGGGGAAAAGGGTGGCTAGAACCGCAATTTCTATCCTACTCCGTGTACTCCAGGTTTTATAAAGCTAATGTAATTTTGATGTTAACTCTTTGTTACTTCAAATTATGTATATGTTATTTTTAAATATATTTATGTTATTTTGCCCTTTTCCCATTCATCTTCCTTCCGCACTCACTCTCTCTTCCTCTCGGCTACTCCAACAAAATCATACACTTTCTCTCTCCTTTCTTCTTTCAATTTTTGGGTTTTTGAGGAATCAACCTCACTCTCACTCTCTCTCTTTTGCTCTCACTACTCCAACTCTAAATCAAACACACTTTGTCTCTCCTCTTTTATTCGTCTAATTTTCTTTGTTTCTTAGAAATCAATTGATCTGAAGGTAATTTAAGGGTTTAAATGTGTTTATGTCTAGAAATTTAGTATCTTCTAAAATGTTTGATTCTCTTCACGATACCTTAAAACTCAACAATGCTAATATTATTTTGATGTGAATTTATTATTATTTCAATTTATATATATTTTATTTTTAAATAAGTACATGTTATTTAATGTAACTTAAAAATAGCATGAGTTGAGGTTAAAGTAATAAATAAGTAAATAACATATTGTTGTAACAAAATAACACAACATTTAAGCAAAATAACATAAAGTGTGCACAAAATAACTCATATATATTTTGTAAGGAGTACTATGACCATAATACTCTAGGAGTATATATTGTGTCAGGGGGTGGGGAAAAGGGTCGCTAGAACTTTGTTTTTTTTTTTAAATTATGTTTTTTTTTCTTAATTTTGGATCATTCATGTGTTGACACATGACAATTAAAAAAAAAAAAAAAAAATTATTTCAGCAGGTCACCGGTCATTAGGACCATTGGAGGTAAACTGACCCCCCATAGTTTGGATTATTGGATAATAAACCTTAGTTGGGATTATTAGAAGTAAATTGCCCATAGTTGGGATTATTTAAGTGTATGTTTCCATTAGAATTAGTTAAATTTCATTTCTAGATCTTAAGATATGACCAAATTAGGTGTTGGTTTTCGATCGTGTTTAGTGTTTTAATCATATTTTCTTTGTTTTAAATTGAAATTGGGCTTATGAGATATCTACAGATTTTTTTATTTCATGGGCTATCCATCAAAGTATGATTTTGCATAAAAATTATGAATCAAGAAAATTATATTTGCTCTGTTTCGAGTTGCATTTATGAGAATAAAAAATTGGGTTAAGATTTGTGGATATCGCACTTATTGTTTTAAATCATAATATTATTCAGTTTCAAATAAGATTTTTATCAATGATCTTGCATAATAATTACCTATAATGACAATGTTAGTTATAAAACTGGACATTATATCATTTTTACCCCTAAACCCTAACCCTAACCCTAACTTTATGGAGCCATGGCCTCATAGGCGTGCCTCATCTAAAGTTTCCTGAAGGATCGTAAGGAGTCCGTTGTGGCACACCTGCGCCAATTGAGAACTTCAAGCACTAAGTTTTAACTTCATCTCAAGGCTTGTTCATTATCCGTGGGATATATTTTTTCTATTCTTGGGAGCACTATATATTTTACTCCTTTGGGGTATTTCTTAGCCTTTTCATTGCAAATGGTATTCATCGAGATCAATTTAGTTTTTCCTCTTACCTGTCTATGGATGTAGCCAACACATCGTTAGTGAATCACGTAAATTTGTGTGTTATTTATTTTGCATTTATTATTTGTTCTATCCCACACCCGCTGCAACAAGATCATGTTGGTTTTTGTAGCACTATTGTTGATATTAATGGGTAAGAGGAGTAAAAAAATTGGGATATGAAATGGATAGTGAACCAACCCATGACTTTGATGAGCAATAAATTGCATAGCGTACAATGGGTCATTATTGGTTCAATCTAAAGGGGAGAGCATAAAGCTGGTAAGGAAAATACACACGTTAACAAAGCTCTCACTCTACCCTATACGTTGAATGGCGGAAACTTAGACACGGCGAAAATGGTGATTTTGGTGGAAGGTTCAATGGACGAAGCTTGGACACGATGAAGATGATGGTGTTAGTTGTGGTGTCAGTGGAAGGTTCAGTGTAAGAAGCTTGGAGTTGACAAATGATAAAGAGTTAGCAAACAATATTTTCAGGCAGTTTCCTTTAAAGTTGACTTAGCAACTGAGGTAGACAAATTGTGAACTAACGTTTTAATATTGTTGCACATTATATTACAACACTGGTTAATATAATAGAATAATAGATCAATCGGTGCAAGTTCATTTACAACATCATTTTCAATTATAATTATTCAATACTTTAAACTGGGGGATTTTATTCATAGCTAAGGAAAAATTACACAACGTCCAACTCCTCAAGGCTAATGAGACCTTAAGGGAAGGAAATCAGAAATACTTCTTTAACCCCCATTAATAGGAGCTAACCTAGCAGCTAGATGCGCAACAGGCAACAACATTACCATTTCTTTTAACATGACTGCAAGCAAAACTATCAAAGCGCCCCTTAGCAAAATTGATATCCTCCATAACCAATGCACAAGGCGTCCTATCCTCAAACGTCGGCACACAAATAGCCTGAAAACAAAGTAGCAGCATCACTCTCAATCTTGACATGACACACCCCCAATTGGCAGGCAAGGAAATTCCCCATTATGGCAGCAAGTGCTTCAGCCAAAACAACCGGCCCATTGTCTTGTACTCTTCGAACAACATCAGTAATCTGCACATTTCTCTCATCCCTGACAACCGCACCAATCCCCATGAGACCACCAGGCACCTTAGTAGCATCTGAATTAACTCGAACCACCCCTCTACCAGGACAAAACCACCTACTTCTAGAGACAAATAATTCATCACTCAATATTCAAAAGTGTATTAATATTTACAAATTATCTTTATAATAAGCTCGCATGTCGAATAAACTCAAGAGATAGTTAATTTAATCAAGTAAACTTACACTAATAATATATATATATATATATATATATATATATATATATATATATATATATATTAAAATAACAATCACTAAAAACTTCCAAGTACGGAGTAATTTATAGCAAAAACCTACTTCGTACTACTCCATTTGTAAATTCTCATTAATATGGATGCTCTAATTACATGTACAATTCGGAATAAGGCAAATTTCATACCACATTTAACACGCCCAAAAATCAACAAATCCAACAAATACTCGTACTACTCCACAGTACAATCAACATCCCTTCAATAAGAGTCCAATTTCACCAGACTTTCTTTCACAACTTCCTTCTTCATCTTCTTCCTCCTCAATTTCTCTCTCCTCTCAGATCAAACCCCCCTTCACTTTCTCTCTCCTCACTCACTCACTCCCTCAGAGCAAACCTGGAGCAGCTCAAGACCATCGGCCGGGAGCTCGCAATGGGCTCCCAAGGCGGTTTCGGCCAATCCAAAGAATTCCTAGATCTCGTCAAATCAATCGGCGAAGCTCGATCTCGTTCCGAAGAAGATCGCATCGTTCTCAACGAAATCGAAACCCTAAAACGCCGAATTATCGAACCCGATATCCCCAAACGAAAGATGAAGGAGTTCATCATTCGTCTCGTCTATGTTGAGATGCTTGGGCATGACGCCTCTTTTGGGTACATTCATGCGGTGAAAATGACTCATGATGATAATATTCTTCTTAAGCGAACTGGGTATTTGGCTGTTACCCTTTTCCTCAATGATGATCATGATCTCATCATCTTGATTGTTAATACAATTCAGAAGGATTTGAAGTCTGATAATTATCTTGTGGTTTGTGCTGCTTTGAATGCGGTTTGTCGGTTGATCAATGAGGAGACAATTCCCGCGGTTTTGCCCCAGGTTGTTGACTTGCTTAATCACCCTAAAGAGGCTGTTAAGAAGAAGGCTGTTATGGCTTTGCATCGGTTTTATCAGCAGTCCCCATCTTCGGTTTCGCACCTCGTCTCGAATTTTCGCAAGGTGAAAGAATTTTGGTTGTGGATTATAATGTTTATTTATGACTTGTAATTTTTTTGAATTATTGTGGGTTTTAAACTGTGCATTGTATTAGTAATAGTTACAATTTGTGCCCTGAAATACCGGAAGGATTTGCATGTCAATGTGGGATGCCCTGGTTAACTGAAGTGAAAGTGAACTTCTTTCTGGTTTTAGCATTATATCTGTGGCTATTGTAATATGCCTTTTTGATTCAACACAATTAGGAGGATTCGACCGCCAGTTCTGTGCTTATGATTTGCTATTTTAAGGCTAGATACATGGAATTAGACAAAGGTAGATGTAACTTAAAGTAGTGAAGTAATGAGTTTAAGCCCTCGGAGTAGATTTGTGTTTGATCATTTTCTCAAAAGCATGGGTATTCAGGGTGCAATTCTGGAGCTGTGCATTGTTGATATGCCTTATATTTCCTGGCAGAGTTTTGCTTGATGATTCGTGGTGGTAATTAAGTGAAGTCAAAGCAAACTTCTTTCCGGTTTTAGGAATTGAAAAGTAGCATTATATTAGAAAAAAAATGTAGTATGATTCTTAGTTTCATCACCCCAGTAAAGTTAGTTTGGCCCCTTGGATATGTGCATATTTTGAGCCACTGCAACACTGATACATGAAGTTAGACAGAGGTATAAGTAACTCTAAAGTAGTGAGGTATGGCCCTTGGAATAGTTTTTTTTCCTGATCTTTGTCTCAATCCACAGTAATCTAGATTCAATATCAGTGCTCCCATATATTTTCTGATAGGAATGTGACTGATGGAACTTTGGACTTGTGAATTGTGAGCAAAACTGAATATTCGACTTCCTAGAGATGGGAAAAAGGGTTATTGATCTAAAATATTTCTTTTCATTCCCTGTTTCAACCAATGAAGGGGAGTTCTAAATCTTAAGTTATATTGGTAAGCTTTGATACTTCTTGAAGCAAAGAGACTAGGCCACAAGGCAAGGATTAACCATCACTCTGTAGCTGTTCTTGCCATACTTCACTGCTAATATTTGCCTATCAAGAGTTTTATGTATATATTTTGGGTAAAGCTTTTTGGGGACAGTTTTTGACTTTTTGGTAGTACATTTCTCTTTACAGATCGAAATTTGACTATTTGTCAATATTGTTTGGTTTTGAGGCTGTTTGGTTGAGAGTAGGAATTGTTGGGCTAATGAGGATTGTGATATTTTGTCTAACTTAGTCTGATAATTTAATAAAGTTGCAGATATGTGCTACTAGTTTGTAGATTATGTTGGATTGTTGATGAGTGTTAAGGAGAGGCTGTGCCAAGATTCAATCAATCAATTAATCAAAGCCTTAATTCCATAAGTGGGATCGGTTACATGTGCCAAAAATCTGGGTTAAAAATCTTTGATAGGAGTTTACACATGTATGCACGAAAATTACTGAATTTGGCCCTTAAGCGTGAAGATCTCGTTGGATGAAAATATGCAAGGAAAACAGGGGGTTTAGTGATGATAGATTGTGGTGCTGCTTGTCAAATACAGTTAAGCTGTCTTCTTGTCATTACCTGCGATTAATTAAGTGTTTAATCTTCAGTGCTTCATTGTAGCAATTGGTTTGGTAGTCTTGTTTTATGAAGATGGTATTACCTTATTGAAGCAGACAATAAGGAATTAATGAAGTGCCTACCTTTGTGGTTTGGTGGGTTATGTGAACGGAAAAAAAACTAGTCTTTTGTTATTGGTGTTAAATTTCCATTTTGAAAGTTGATTTTTTTTCTTTTTTTTTTTCTTCTAATTATTCCTCAGTACCAATAATATGACCCTTAATATATTCTGGTGTTATACATTTAGTCAACTTCCGAGCAAAATGTAAATCCTTAAAAATGTTTCTTAACAATGAAAGATTCAAATTCAATTAAAAGATTTCTAGTCACTTCTACTTATTGTTAATTTTCTTACTTGTTAGAGGCAACTTTGTACTCTTTCAAGTCACAACAATATAGTTCTATGTGTGCTCAGTTATTATTATTTCTCTTTAAATGCTGAACTTTTCATAAGGGACTGACACTTTAGGAAGGAGGGATTAGTTATGACCTATTAACACTTACTGTACAACTGGAGAGGGTTAATGGGTTTTGTGGATTAATCACAGGTGTCAAACATTTCAAAGGTTCTTACTTCTATAATCTCCAATCAGCCTTTTATCATTCTTCTTGCTAAGTTTGTGACACAATAGTCTAGAGTCCTCTAGACCTGTCTTCCAGTCTAGTTCTGGGTTTAATAAGTTTTGGTTTTGTTACCTTCTGTACATGTTGAGTTGTTGGTGATTTTGGGTCATCTTTTTTAGATATCTTGTAATTGATTATATGTTAATTTTTAATTTTGAGTTGAATAATGTGCTCAAGAGTGAGCTTTAATTGGGTTTTTGGGTCAGGTGAACATTTGCTAGCTACATTATACCTAGTTAAAATATGAACCTGAATTGATTTGAGAACGTCTTCTGTTACAGGGATGTGGTGATTCTCATAGGGCATCCCTGAATAATGGTGATATATGAGAAATGTTAGTATGGGGACCAAAGTTTATGATAAAACTGACAGAGAATAAAGATATACTTTGAATTCTTAGCTTTCTTAGGAATTTACTATTGGTAGAGATCTGACTGCTTAACAAACTCCACCAAGGCTGGCTGTAACCAACTCTGGAAAATAATAGTATTTATCTTTCATACTAATATATTGCAACCTCCTGGTTCCTACTTTCCTGGCTTTACCTATCAAGTTTCAGTGTCTACCTTGGAACTCTTTATGGTCCATATTTATGGATGAGAATATGTAAACAGGGCATATGGTTCCTGGCTATTGTAGTTTATCTTTTTAATTCAGTTATGAATTTGTTATTGCTTTTTGGCTGGCATATAGTCTAGACATAATAGATGACTAGATGAATAATTTACAAACAGCAAGGTGCCTGTGTTAGAGCAAGTTTACCCCCAAGTCGGATGTGACATCATTTTTGGTGGTCCCCATTGAAAATTATGTCATCAAATTCTCGTTAAGACTCACTTGACTTGTCCAAATTTATCACTTTAGCCCTAAGACTCAAATATATGACATATTATATGTAGAAAAGTGAATGAAAAAAAAGGATGATAAAAATAAAATTGAGGTGTGTCCCAATCTCAAGTGTTAAGTTGAGTCTTGGAATTTCAAGACTCAACTTGAGACTTGCTTGAGATTTAAGAAGAAAAATGGGAGAAGTCTTAAACATAAGTCTTACGACTCAAGATGATGATGTCACCCCAAGTCTTAAGACTCGGGGCTAAACTTGATCTTAGTATCTAGTGATGGCATGATGCTTAAGCTGTTTGGATGATCTGCTCCTATATTAATTGCTTACTGGGGTGTAATAGACTAACCTGGAGGGGTAGTATAGGTATTCTAATAATATTAGTTTATTAGGGTTAATAGTCCTTAGTATAGATAGGGAGGTAAGGGAAAGAAATGGGTAGGCAAATATTGGATGAAACTTGTTGAGAGTTGTGCCTCGAGTCACTTTTGGAGAGTTGTGAGCTAAACTCACATTTGAAGAGTGATAGCCTTAAACTATTAATTTATCCTTTTGTATCGAATTTCAGCCATTATTAATCAAAGTATCAAGCTTTTATCTCTTAATTAATCTTTAAATCAGAAAATACCAAGTCAGTTCATAACAATTGGTATCAGAGCAGTTCTGTTATGAGAAGTCTGCTGATTTTCGTTTCATTAAAAAAAAAAAAAAGTCAGCAATGATCTTTGAGTCTGCCGAAAGAAGTGTAGCACAACAGATGCATAAATGGATCTGCGAAGAGTATGCATACATTTCCAGCAAGAGAGAACACGGAATTTTAGATTATGAGGAAGAGCAAAACATTCGTCTAGAGCTTCAGATTCATGAGTTCAATGGAAGAAACTTGGATGATTGGATCTTTCAAATGGAAGATTTCTTTCATTTTTTTCACTTAAGTGAAGAGGTTAAACTTAAGGCTGCCATAATAGGTCTTAATGGCAAAGTGTTGCAGTGGTTTGAAGGTGAACACAGGTGGCTATCAATACGTGAGTGGCGGGTTCTGAAGGGAGTGTTGGTGAGTCGTTTCGGCTTGTCATCTATAACGTCCTGGCAGAAGCAACCAACTCCAATTTTGAAACAATCAATCGAAGAGGAAACGAAGGTGTCATCTCAGACATTTTCAAAGGAGGTAGATGAAATCACAAAGAGAATCATCGGAAATGTTCTAAAGGATTTGGGCAAAATCACTAACAAAGCCTCTTCTCCAATGAAGATGAAGGAAGAAGACTATCAAGCAAAATCAGAAGAGGAAATTGCAGGTAATGAAGAGGAGGAGCAGGTACACTCCATGTCAAAAGATGAAAACGGAGTTTTTGTTGGGGGTGTAACTCGTGGTGGCTCCGATAACATTAACGGTGAGTTGGGTTGTGGAGTTAGAGGTGTCGCAAGAAAAGTTAAACCTGGTGGAAGGCTTGGTGATTACGGAGCGGGTTTTACCGGTGGAGGTCAAGGTGGCTTCGCCGGTGAATCGGGTGGAGGTGTTGGTGGGTATGCACAGGGAACTGCCGGTGCTAGCTGTGTTGATGGTGGAGCAATAATTTCTGAAAGTGGCTTCCCCGGTGATTTGGGTGGAACAGTGACCACTTTCGAAAGTGGTTTTTACAGGGGGTTTTGGTGGGCCAGGAAATCCAGTGGACAACCTCTACAGTGGTGGGAGAATTTTCGTGAAGAGAGGTCAAGACAACTTTGCTGGCGATTTTGGTGGTGGGACTAGTGAATTTGAAGGTGTTCTTTTTATCGTACGGAGAGGAAAGGCTGGTCTGTTTGACGGAGGTAGGATAGAAGGGGTTTTTGAAAAAGGCGGTGTCGACGGTAGCGGATCCGGCAGTGGTCCAGGTAGGTCCACCGGAGAATGTGGTGAAGTGTACCGGCAAGGTGGTAGGAGAAGCGGCGCAAGTCAAGGTGGGTCTGTCTGGGGAACAGATTCACCGCCACCATTGGTTGCAAAAAGGGGTGGTGACTTCTCTGGTGGTTTTACAGGCGGCGGGTGTTTGACCGGAGGTGAAGCAGAAGGAAGGTTTCAATGGGAGTGGTTACTTGGCGGGTTCTTGAAGTATGCAGAAGGAGCAGCTTTTGGCAGAAGTTTGACTGCAATTTTCTTTGGCTTGTGGAGGAAGCCAAACATAGAAGGTACTAGTAAGGGTAGAATTGTAAATATGAGGCTTGATGATGTGGGAAAGGATGATAATCATGCTGAGATTGCTTACTGTGCGTTGGAAATGAATCTATTATTTTTTGAAGGCAGGTTTTTATTTGGGCCCCTTGCAACATGGCCCAATTTCCTAATTCATGGCCTGAAGCCCAACATTACCCAGCAATCCTTACTTCCATCCAGCATCCTTTGTTTAAAGCCCTTTACCTTCTATTTCCTAAAGTCAGCATTGCCCAGTAATCCTTATTTCCACACTTCTTGCTTCTGTGTAGACACCACTTGCTCTACTCATAATTCAATTATCCTACCTGACAAGCTACAGCATTTTTCAGTTTCTTATGCCATGTTAAGAGTACTAACCTTCAACAATGAACAGCAACTCTCACAGCAGCTCACTCTCACTGTTGGCTTTTTCAAGAGTTCTAACAAGCATCAATGTTGCCGAGGCCGGAAATTCAGTGCAAACTACTATCCACCTTGAGGACAAGGTGGAAGTTTAGGGGGCCGGTATTGTAATAGACTAACCTGGAGGGGTAGTATAGGTATTCTAGTAATATTAGTTTATTAGGGTTAATAGTCCTTAGTATAAATAGGGAGGTAAGGGAAAGAAATGGCTAGGCAAATATTGGATGAAACTTGTGACCTCAAGTCACTTTTGGAGAGTTGTGAGCTAAACTCACTTTTGAAGAGTGGTAGCCTTAAGCTATTAATCTATCCTTTTGCATCCAATTTCAGCCATTATTAATCGAAGTATCAAGCTTTTATCTCTTAATTAGTCTTTAAATCAGAAAATACTAAGTCAGTCCATAACATGGGGCTTGGGCACTTGTGTCCGGCATAGATAAGTGTCCAAGTGGTGGGCTCAACTATTTTGTGAAAAGTGTATATGATTTTGGTTGAAGTATCCTAGTGTTCTACACTTCTACCCATGTCAGAGTATTGAGGATTTGGCATGGGTACTTGAGGTGAAATAAAGAGTCCGAATAATGTAGCTTCTGCGCTCTGCTATGATGTTTACTTGCTGTCATATATTTACTTGCTTCTTTTGTTGTGCTGTGTTGGTTACATGATTTTTTTGTTTCTGCAGAAGCTTTCTGATAATGACCCTTCAGTGATGGGTGCTGCATTATGTCCTCTTTTTGATCTGATCACGATAGATGCTAATTCCTATAAAGATCTAGTTGGAAGCTTTGTGAGTATTTTAAAGCAAGTAGCAGAAAGAAGATTGCCCAAAAGCTATGACTATCATCAGATGCCTGCTCCATTCATTCAGGCATGTTATTTCTATTTTAATTCATTCTGTTGTATGGAGAGCTTAAAATTGGATAATAAAGCAGGTTGTGTTGTACTCTTTATCTGTTCTTGAACATGATTTTAAATCTGTTATCACTTAGTTTTAAAAAGCATTGTGCGTTTTGTATGATAGGAGCTAAGTCTCTCGTTAAAGGAATCAGCACATTCTCGTAGAATCAATTTCAGATTGAGAGTAATAAGTTGTAAGATCCTTTTTATTGATTAATTTTCCAAGAACATTTTTTTTTTGAAAAGAAAGGAAAATTCAACTGTTTCTAAAATCAAAATAGACAGTAAATGGGATATTAAAAGAAAAAGGAAAAGAGTCAAACATGCTTAGAATTATAGATTAGATTAAAAACAACTCTACTTTTGTGATTTTTCGCAGTTACTTTATGGGTTAGAGTTGCTGGCGCCTTCCCAAATTATTAATACAAGAAGATACAAAGGAATTAAGAAAACTTGCAAATTGATTATTTTTGGCGGTTCCCATTCTTCTTTTTTAACTAGCTTTGTTAAAATGTTGGGATTTTCACTGTTTGCTCTATATTTTTAATAACAAACTTAGGGTGTAATTTGTTCACCTTATTTTCACTTAAAGGTGTAATAAGTTCAGTTAAGTTCAAATAAGTTCACTTTAGGATAAGGGTTACCCAACTACAAATTACAACTACTTGTATAATAAGTTTAAATAAGGTATAATAAGTTGAGATAAGTTCATATAAATTCAGGTAAGTTTAGATAAGATAAGATAAGTTTAGTTAAGGTAAAATAAGTTCATATAAGTGAAAATCAGGTGAATAGAAGATAGAACACACCCTTAATTACTTGCACTAACTGATCAAGCAAGAACTTGAAAGCCTTTTGAACAATTGGGTCCTTGCTAGAGAATTGGTAAGATAAACCCAAATACTATCTATAGTGTCTGCTTGAAGGGTTAGATAGTTAAACCTCAAGACTGAGGAGACTACTAGAGTACTAGCATGACTTATTTTTAGATAAAGCCTATTGACAAGCTCAGGCTTTCCATAGATTAACACCAGGGATTAGTTTAGTATTGTATCTCTATGTGAGAACACCTTGTTCTCTGACTATTCTTGATGGTCTTAGTTATAAATGGAATCCTGCTATTTTCCCCTATCAAGCCATGAGATCTCTACCTGATGACTTTGTATCATACCTTGATAATACAGATTAAATTGCTCAAAATTCTGGCATTGTTGGGCAGTGGTGACAAGCATGCAAGTGAACAAATGTATACTGTTCTAGGTGACTTAATTAGGAAGTCTGATTCATCTAGCAACATAGGAAATGCGGTGCTCTATGAAAGTGTGTGTTGTGCATCTGCTATCCATCCCAATACAAAATTATTGGAAGCAGCAGCTGATGCAATATCGAAGTTTTTGAAGGTATATTCTCTGATAAGCTGTTAATTAGTGTTTAATTACTGATAGTTTTTATCTGATCGTATGCAACTTTCTTTACCTAATGAGCAGAGTGATAGTCATAATTTAAAATACATGGGCATTGATGCCCTTGGAAGATTGATAAAGCTAAGTCCCGGAGTCGCAGAACAGCATCAACTGGCAGTGATTGATTGCCTGGAGGTGAGAACATTTTTCCCCGAAAGATTGGTTTCTCTTGAGGTCCTTTTTATTTTTGAATTTCCATTTTGTAATCAGTTGGATGTAACTGCTCTTCAGAATCCGGTCCTATATTTTATTATGTTTAGGAAAGCTATTTAGGCCTTGTTTGGTACAAAGCTTTTTGCCTTTTTGGAAAGCTTTTAGCTTATTGAGCACTATTAGAAATTTGACCTTAATGAAAGCTAATTTTGGCGTTTGGTAAATAGCTTATTAAAAGAGCTATTTGGGCTGAAAAGCTCTTTTAAAAAAGTTCATTATGAAATGTTTTTGAAATTAGCTTATTGTACAATTAGCTTTTTGGGTATTAAATACACTGAAACGGCTAAAAATAAACTATTTACCAAACACTTCTACACAATAAGCTATTTACAACCAGCTAGTCGAATCAACTAATATAACCAATTAGACAAATTAGGTAATACAATCAGCTATATCAATTAGTTAACAACTAATTACCAAACAGGGCCTTAATTTGTGGGTTTTTTTTGCCATGAATAATCTTCAAGGCTTCAGGGGATAATTGGTTGACTAGTACTCATAGATGGCTTAAGGTGGATTGGCTGAACTTAGGCATTAGATTGCTTCACAATTTCATATTTGAGTGGAAGAGCGAGACATAACATATTGCCAATGTAAAAGTGGTCAGTCATTTGATCATCAGTAAGAGTGAAATTGAACTTAGCCGTGTGTCAGTTGCAGTTAGCTAGTCAGTTCTAAATCTCTGCCTCTACTGATCCAACCTTTGAGAAAGATAAGGGTTTTGGGAGAAATGAGGAAAAATGGGTGGCTCCTGGAAAAAGAATTGGGTTTAGTATTTCTTTGAATAAGGATTATTTCGTATCTAGGTCATTGTAAAAGCATCCAACAATTTTTGTTTTTTTTTTTTATCATAATTGGATGCTTTATATTCTATCTTAATCATAGCAGCATAGCCCTAAGGGTTACATTTAAAATCTACTTTTCAAAATTTTGATCCTTTAAGTTGTTTATTTAGTTGGACTTTGGCTGATCAGGCTTAACTTCAACCAGTGGCCCGCCTGTATCAAAGATAATTTAGGTGGGTAGTTTGGCCACTGGGGCCAGGTAACCACTGCGCTAAACATGGATAGCTCTTTAACAAGCTGGTTCTTTCTTGGTGGGTTGGGCTTGAACCTGCCCATTGAGTATCTCTGTGTTTTACATTTAAACTGTAGTGTTATAGTTGCAATTGACGAATTTCTCGGTCAACAGTAGTCGTCTTAGCTGGTGGTTAAATCTATGTATAAATAAAGTAGATGATAGTCATCACATAGCAGCTTCAGGATAATGTGCTGGCCACTGGGTAAACTAACTACTGGTTTTTGTAGGTGCCATGTTAATATGCTTATGCTTCAAAAACATAAATACAATAAAAATGTTATCAATGATGTTTTTGCTCTCAAAAAGAGCCATTTTCCATAGAGTTCAGTTAATTTGCTACCTAACAAAATGTTTGCTGACCTTTATGTGCAGGATCCGGATGATTCCCTGAAGCGAAAAACTTTTGAGCTACTGTATAAGATGACCAAGTCCTCTAATGTGGAAGTGATTGTTGACCGAATGATTGAGTACATGATAAGTATAAATGATAGTCATTATAAAACTGAAATCGCATCACGGTGTGTTGAACTTGCTGAGCAATTTGCCCCAAGTAATCAGTGGTTTATTCAGGTATGCTCAGTTCCATAGTTTGTGCTTCTGTTTATTTAGCAATTGACATCTACCGATCTCACTATGTTTTGGCTTTCCCCAGACAATGAACAAAGTTTTCGAGCATGCTGGCGATTTGGTAAATATTAAGGTGGTGCACAATTTAATGCGTTTGATTGCAGAGGGATTTGGAGAGGAGGATGATACTGCAGATGGGCAGCTAAGATTATCTGCTGTGCGTTTCTACAACTGATTCTATTGTGTTAATATATTTCTGTTTAAAGCTTATTTTCTGCCTGCTTTATGAATAAAAAAAAAAATTACCAAACACTTTTTTTCAATATTCTATGTTGGGATGATTTCTGGGCAATGATTTTGTTATGTTAATCTCTGTAGTATAGGATCAAAACTGGAAAAACTAACCTGGCTTTAAACAGCTTCAAGAAATTTGTTTTATGATTACTCCCTCCGTCCCAATTTAGTGTGCTCACTTATTATGGTACATAGTTATAGAGGTATGTTGGTATTTTTTGTTATAACATGTTATCTTAATAAAAAGGTAGATGTCAGAGGAGATAGCGGAAAGGTTTGCTTTAAATTATTTATTTATTTATTTATTGAATTGAACTGAACTGAACTGAGTGTGATACCAGAAGTTATTGGGAAGAGAGAGGTAATAAAACTAATAGTTTGTCATTGCCAATTTTAGAGATGGACATATAAGTTGGGACAGATGAAAAAGAAAAATTATTTATTGGCTCTTCAGGTTGGCCTTACTCAACCTGTGAACAAAGGGCAGGATAACGTATTATCGAATCTCAGAGCTGTATGGCCTTGTTTGCAAATGACTTGATTCTGAAGTTGGTATACTTAGGAACATGCTTGGTTCATATTTTGTTCTTCTTGTTTCAAATTGGGTTAATTAGCTTTTTATGGGTATTCAACAAGATAATTATATAAATTAATTGTTGGTTGATTTGATTCATGTAGGGTCAAAGTAAGGTTACCTGTTTGTGAGGTCTACTCTATGGATTGAAGATGCTACATGAATTGGCTAAATTCCACATAGCCAAACCCTTAAATATTTAGTAGATACTGGATTTAAGCGGGCAGTGTTAAACATTTTCAGTTTGGTGCTAGCCTGTCCAGATAACTGCATTACTTTTCTAAATCATATGTGATGAGTAGGTAGAATAACTTTTGGGACCTAAAGTTTTTTATACGACTTACGTACTTGGGTGAAAAAATATATTTAGGGCCTGTTCTCTTCAGATTATTTTCAGTTCAGTTCAGTTCTTAATTTCCTCCTCGTAAAATATTCAGTTCAGTTAAGTTCAGTTCAGCTCCAATAAGTCCAGTTCAGCTCCAATAAGTCCAGTTCAACTTAGTTCAGTCAATCAGAACGGGCCCTTAGATGGTATACTTGAAAGTGAGCTCTTAAATGGTGTGCCATACTTTTAAAGTCGTTTAAATATAGGATCTTCTAGGAAGTCTTTTGGGATGCCTAATAGACTTTATTACTGTTCTTTTATTTATCTGCAAGAGAATCTGTTAAATTTGTAACTATATCCCCTTATCAGTTTATTTGGAAAGGCTTTTAAGTTTTTAGGTGTTTTCCTGTGGAAAGTCTGCTTTAGTACTCAGACATGGTTTTCCAAAGAAATTATGCTCTATTGATGATTAGATCAATGTGAAAAATATGCTTCAATTAAGATTATTATTGAATGTATTGATTTGCATATCATATCAATTCTGAGTTATGTAGGATTGTAATTCTCAACTAATCAAGTTCTGTACATTTGATTTGGATTTACAGGTTGAGTCTTATTTAAGAATCATTGGTGAACCAAAGCTTCCATCTGCTTTCCTTCAAGTAAGCGTTCTGTGTTATCAGTGCTTCTGCTCTAGCATTTTTGCTCTTTTAAATACTGTATAAACATTTTCATTTTCCTTTTTATTAAACAAGAAATTTGATTCACTCTATAACTCCTCCTAAAAGTTTAAAACTGTCGTGATAAGGAGGTACACTAAATTTAGACGGAGATGCTGCTTTTTACATTAATTGTAGACCAGCTATCAAATTAAATGAAGACAAGCTATCATCTACAATGCACACAACTGCATTTTGTGTCTGCCAAATTTATTTCTATGCCAGCAGACCCACTCTGAAGTTAAAATAAGCCCTCCTCTCCTTTTTATTGCTACCACTAATTAATTAAGTATTTTTCTCAATAAACGTCCACTTCCTTGATCTGCATTACAACTCTAATTAGCTTTCAAATATCCCACAAGGCCATAATAAACATAGTCTTTTTTGTTTAAAAGTTAACTTTATTCTATTGTTGATTCCTTTACAGGTTATTTGTTGGGTGTTAGGGGAGTATGGAATTGCTTATGGAAAATATTCCGCTTCATACATTACTGGAAAGCTCTGTGATGTGGCAGAAGCCTATTCGACCGATGACACAGTGAAGGTAAAACGTTGAACCTTTTGGTCTCTTAAGTCATCTCTTTTCATTTGTAGAGCTTTCAATTTTCGTGGATGATTTTTTTTTCCCACTGCATTATTAGTATTTATTTCCACTATGGACAGATACATCTGCACATTGATGCTCTACAGGGTGCAAATATTTAAAAAGAATACATCTCAGAAACCTTTTGTTTACTTATCTACAATTTTGAGCTCAAATAGGACATATTGAAACATTGCTCGTGTTATGTGCATATATGAAACTGAATTCACATATAAGCCAAAATTCATAACTTAACCTCTTGGTACCTCTTTGACACAGCTCATACTTCACAGGCAATAATATTCAAATGGATTTGAAAAGAAGTCCAATCTCTTTTAAATCTCAAATTTGCAATCAGAAATCTTAGATTGACAGCATTGATTGATTTTCAAAACCCTAGATTAGGGCTTTAGCCTTCAGTTGCCAATTGGATTCAGCTCTCTTGCTTCAGATGATTACCAATTGATGATAATTCATAATGGAGGGATTACAAAATCCAGGAAAATGCTTGAGATCTAGTAAGAATGCAAAAATATTTACTTAAGAGCCCGACAAACATGTAATTCAATATGCAGCTACTTGAAACTACCTTATTATCTGACTGATGCAAGAAACTCTGACAAAATTCTTTTTCTGGCTAAAGGCTGCTTATATGTATCCCTCCTCAATGTGGGCTTGGCTGCTTGGGGGCCAGCTATACTAATGGGTTACCCCCCTCTCCCAAGCAACCTAGTAGGTTAACTGAATTATTGTTGTACGATGATAATGTGATTTTATATACGCACAGGTTTTAGTGTTTTGCCTCTTCTGATGGCTTATGTTATTGTCTTTTTTTGAAGGCATATGCACTTACAGCTCTTATGAAGATCTATGCATTTGAAAAAGCTGCGGGACGAAAAGTGGACATGCTTCCTGAGGTAGTGTCATCTCTTCAAAATCAATTTTATTCTTTGTTAAAATTATTGGTATGCAGATATATGCTGTGTCCTAATAAGTTTTCCCTTTTCTATGAAAAGGATGTCCTTTCTATCTGACCTTCTATAAAGTATCTACACTTGCTGTTTTAAGTTGAGTTTTGTTGGAAACTTTGTCACGAGTTCTAAGCATAATCATTGTGTAATAATTTATTGGTCTTACTTGCTGTTCTGATCTTCTGTCTCTTTCCCAGGATACCTTGTCCTGCTATACTTTTACTGTTGTATCTTGGATGTGCAGTTTTAATAATACTCCCTCCACCCTCAAATTATTTTCTTAGGCTTGGGCACACATATTCAGAGAAGATGGTAGGATGGTGTATGCTCCTTGATAGATAGTGAAAAATTACGAATAAATTAATAGGTTGATGGAGAAAAACTAAGTGCAGGACCCCACATCACCTAAAATAGAAAAAAGAGAATGAAGTAGTTAGTAGTAGGGCTCTCATTGCATGGGTTGAATGAGTTGGGTGAGAAAGATACAAAGAAACCTTAATTTTTTTGTTTAAATTTTTTTATAAATCTAATTTTGGTCTACTCTTTCTCTTGCATTTGAACATGAGGCGGCCTCTTGTGCCTTGGTTGAGGTGGCCCGAGGCACACACTTTTGTCACCTTTTGGAATGCATTGTGTTTATTTTGACCTTTGATCTACTCTTTCTCTCGCAATGAGGTGGCCTAGGCCCTTTGCCTTGTGCCTTGTTTGAGGTGGCTTGAGGCATGCACTTTTTGTTACTTTTTGGAATGCGTTGTGTCTAATTAGGTTAAGGCAATTTGATATGCTCTTTAACTTGCCTGGCACTTAGTTGTGCTTTTTAACTAAGAGGGAGACCAAAGATGACTTGGATGGAAGGAGTTAAGAAGGATATGAAGAAATTTGGGTGTGTATATCACTTGAGAGAAGGGAGTTGAGGGAGAGAGGATCATGGTTGACGATCATTGGAGTTGAATCGTGGTTCATGTAGTTGACCCACCATTAGGATTAAGGCTTCAATGTTGTTCTTGTTTTCTGTTGTTAAGAATGAACATTATCTTCTAGTGTATGGATGGTTAATTTTCTCTAAAGTTAAAATGTCAACCAAAGGCAGATCATTCTGTAGATGTGAACTTTTGAATCACGGTCTCCTACTATTCTGGGTATTTTTCTTGTTTCCTACTTGTTGATGCTTGGTCCAGTTATGTGTTACATGCTTTTTAGGTAATTAGTGTATTAATGCAATAATCCTCAACTTGACATCCAGGTCTTTTGGGATTTTGTATAGAATAAAAAATCTTTTCTGCATGTGCATAACTGGTTTTTGACTCTTTGTAGACAATCTTTCTTTCATTAATTTTTTTTGAATAAAGATTGATTCATATTTACAAAGTCATATGATATCTCTACCTTATTAAAGCGTAACCAAAAGCTTATGAATAGTGTTATGCCAACTATCTATACTACTATATAAAGAGAAAAGGCCTTTTGGGTGATAAATTTGTCTTTTCCCAAAATGCCCTTCTTAATTTACAAAATTACTTATTCATTAATTAATATTTTTAAAAAAAAAGAAATTGAAAAAAAAATTCATTCATAACTGCTAAAAAAAAAAAAAAAAAAATCTATTCATTCAAATAAAAAATAAAAACTAAAAACTAACTACCCACTAACTATAATCATTATCACTAAAAACACACAAAAATTATCTACTTTTCATAAATAAAAAAGAATGTAACTAACCATAAACCACATTTACTTTTTTTTTTAATTGAAAAAACCACGTTAAACTTTGTTGAAAGATAGCTATATCATGATTTTATTAAAAAAAAAGGAAAATTAATACCAATGTAGTTCCCTCAAAAAAATCTACGTTACAAAGAAGAAAAAAAAAAAACCTTAAAATTTATTGGAAAAAATAAAAGGAAAAATTATACATCAATCTAATCTATGTATGTAATATTACCGTAGATGTTCACTCTATAGTTTTCAATCTTTTATATAAAAACTCAACGATCAACAATATTTTTTAAGGTTAACTGAGGTACACGAAGTGGAGTAGATGTCCTATTGATAATTTTCTTTTTCGTTCTAGAATTTAAAGTTTATGTAAGTATTGATTTTAGAAAAAATCCACAATAACAATATAGTACAATAATAAATTTCCTATAATGTACACGCGTAGCGTGTGTTGTTGCTTGTATCCCTTAAAATGTCTGTTTACATATAGACCCTCATTTATGTAGGCAAATCACATGTGTAACATTCTTTCTTTTTATTTTCCTTTTGTTTTTACCATCATAGCTTTTTGCCTTTTTTTTTTCCTAACTTTTAAATTTTTTTAGATAATTCTTATAAATAGTGTTTGGATAATTATTCCCTTTAAAACTAAAGTTGTGACTTAAAACCAAATTGAAAGAGATTTCAAAACATGGCTAGCTATTTGTGATGCGCGAGTTAACCTCCTTAGTCTATAAAAAGATTTATACCTCATAAATACATGACAATTGAATAAAAAAAAAATATCCTTTCATCAAAACTATAATCTTTATTGCAAATTGTTCATTTTTCATAACCTATGTTACTTGGACTCGGGTACCCATGTCCAACGCGGATACGTGTCCAAGCGTCCGACTCGGCTATTTTGTTAAAAAATTCCATGATTTTGAATTAAAAGTGAAGTGTCGGGCTGTCATACTCATGTTTGAGTGTCGAGGGTCTGACATGGGTACGTTAAGTGAAATGAAGAGTATGAGTAACGTAGTTCATAACCTTCTTTCGTATCGCTGTGATTTATAGCTTTCTTCGACAAGGGGTGTAAGAATTTGTTGTAGCTGTTTGATTCATCTGATTGTAATTGAAGGTTTTACCTCTTTTTCGAACCTTGCAAAATCTTTACCGGAAAACAACTTTACAGCAATTCGTCAAGCAAAAAACCAAATCTTCCTTCAAAAGAGAGAACAAAAACCCGGTCTTTTGAAAGAGAAAAACCCTCCTAAAGAAGAAGATGAACTCTTGTCATTTGAGGGGGAAGCTTTCCTACTAAAAGAGGAAGAGTTATTATAAACCTAAAAACAAACAAAAATACAGAGAAAATATGCACAAGAGACAAAGATTGGGGCTTTCCACAAAAACTGATGAAAGCCTCTCCAAAATTCAACAATGGAGGCTAGTATTTTAGGGAGAGGAGAGAGACTACTAATACTTAACAGCTGAATGTGAATATAATAGTCTCATTAATTAATTTTTTTTAATTATGAGTTTTGATTATTTTATTAATTTTTTTTAATTTTTGTTTAATGCTTCTGGAGCAAATATTTTGGTTATCTTGAAAAAACTAAAAAGTTTGCTAGTCTTGGATTGCATGCATTTCTTTTGGTAATTCTATTTAACATCTAATGATGAACGTTGCAAATTATTTACTGCTATACATTCTGATGTTTTTGGTCCTCCTCTCAGTGTCAGTCATTGATTGAAGAGCTGTCAGCGTCCCATTCAACAGATTTGCAGCAGCGTGCATATGAACTGCAAGCTGTAATTGGTTTGGATTCTCAAGCTGTTGAAACTATACTGCCATTTGATGCAAGCTGTGAAGATATTGAGGTCATATACTCTAGCTTTATACGCTGAGGCTTTAATTACTTGCAAGGGTTTCCTTACTATTTTAATTTTTCTGCGCATGGTACATCAGCTTGACAGCTAAACAGTCTGCATTTGTCAAGAGTCTCAACATTATGTCTCGTATATATATTGAAAGCATCTAGATTAGGTTCACTTTATTTGTTTGAGGGTCTAGAAAGAGGACAAGCTAGATATATATGTGGGTTGGACAAGTGATTCGATGAATCTGAGGAAATAAATTGCTTTTTAATATTCTAAACAAAGAACATGTTCGTGGGTATGCTGATTTCTTGGGTTTTCTTGTTAACTATGCAATGTTATGTTTACGGTGTATTTCCTATCTTATTTTGTCATCATAAATATTTAATTACATTAAAATATTGTATCGTTGGGGTTCTGACATTTGCTTTTTCCTTTTTGATTATAACACTTAATGTCATCAATATCCATTTGTAAATTTGTATCATCAATAATTCTTATTTGTGTCGCCCATTCTTGTACTTAAATACTTGCAGGTTGACAAAAGCCTCTCATTCCTCAACGGTTACGTGCAAAAATCTCTAGAAAATGGGGCTCAACCCTATGTCTCTGAGAATCAACATTCTGCAATGCCAGTTATCAGCAACTTTAGAAGCCAAACTCACCATGAGTCATCCGCTCATGGACTTAGGTTTGAGGCCTATGAACTTCCAAAGCCTATTGAGCAGCCAAAGCCTACTTTGGCTTCACATGTTCTTTCGACAGATCTTGTCTCTGTATCTGAGCCATCATATACTCGAGAGTTCCAACAGTCTGCATCAGTGAGACCATCGGCTGATGCTGGGTCAAATGAAATCAAGCTACGGCTTGATGGGGTCCAAAAGAAATGGGGAAGGCCAAATTATTCCTCTCCACCGTCAACTTCAAATTCTTCCTCTCAGAATGTTAGTAATGGAGGTTCACAGAATAATGAAGTAGGCGCTGTAAGCTCAAAATCTAAGGATACTTCGTATGGTTACAAGAAGCAGACAGTGGAAATTGATCCCGAGAAACAGAGGCTTGCTGCTTCACTGTTTGGTGGTCTTTCAAAAGAAGAAAAAAGGCCGTCTACAACCAGCTATAAATCTTCAAAAACATCCAGTCATGTTGGGAAGTCCCAAGAAACAAGATCAGTGGCAGAGATGACACCACCACCACCTCCCCCTCCCGACTTGCTAGATTTCGGTGAACCTGATAACATGGGAGGTTCATCAATAATTGATCCTTTCACCCAGTTGGAAGGTCTTTTAGAGGCAGGTCCGGGTGCATCATCTGCAGCTAATTCTAGCTCCGTCAGTTCTGCTAAAGAGTCTGATCTTATGTCGCTTTATGGAGATATGCCTATGAGCACACAATCTGATTTTGTTGATACTCTCAGTAAAGATGATAACCTTAATTTTGGGTCATCAGATGCAACCAATAAGAATGGTCATGTCCACCAATCCCAAGAAAGCAAAGGCCCTAACCTGAAGGATGCACTGCAGAAGGATGCCTTGGTGAGGCAGATGGGTGTAACCCCAACAAGTCAAAACCCCAACTTGTTCAAGGACTTGTTTGGCTAAGTTACTCGACAGCAATTCTCTAGTTTCTCTCACTAGTCACTTGGGTTGGCAAAGATACGGAAGGGCACAATGCTTGAAGCTGCTGGCTAGAAGTATTGTGCTAGTCTAGGTAATATGATGTCGTGTAAAGGATTTCAGTGAAGTGAATGGGTAAAAACTTCTGAGTACATTCTCAAATTCGGATCCTCTGGTTCAGTTCTTGTTCCTCGATGGTGATGTCTTTGTACAACTAGTGCCATTTTAAGAGTTTGGTGGTGTATATTTGGGATTTTGGATCTCACTTTCCAGTTATTCATATATGGGGGCTATTTTCCCCTTGCATATGCTGAGAGATGTTCAACAATTTTGGTGCTTTTTGACCAATGCTTTGTTTCTTTTCTAAGTGAAGTAGGTGCTCTTACTGATAATCCTCTGTTGTAATAATGGTACCAATAAAATTTGTATCAGTAATTTTATTTTTATTTTTTTTAATATAAATAGTTCCTCTTTTTTAAATGTAACGGCTACTGAAGCTACCTACTGCAAAGCTTGCTCTTGAGTGTAACATTGAAGATGCTTACATTTTCTTATAGTTATTTTGATCACCTTTTTCAAGTGTTTATTGATGAACGAATTTTAATTTATATTTGGAATCCATTAGCTTGCTTAACCAAATTACGTTTGCTAATAAAATAGTATTATGTGCAATGGTTAGAACATCACGTAGGTAAGGAAAGTTAGATGAATATAAGAGCAGGGACTATGTAATGTGATGAGAGCTATTATATACAAAAATACAAGTTTATCTTCGTGATAAACAAAAATCTAACTTCAAATTTTTGGTTTTTTATTTTGCCATTTTTCTTGATTTTTTTTTCAAAAATAGTAATACTTAATTTTCTTTTACCAATTTAGAGTGTTAGTTTTATATCACTTTAGATTTATTTTTTTTTCCATTAAAATTGATTGATTAAGTATTTGACTCTAATTTTTTCAATTTTCCAATTACTGCTTGATTGAAATTTTATCTGGAATATTAGAAAATTAGGTTAGAACCTGTGCGATGCAAGTTCTATATAAAATCTATTTTTAATTTGTATATTTTAAAAATAAATCGCTATTATACATGAATATAAATAAGAATTACGTATTTTGTAATTATTGATTTTTTTATTTTAATCAAAATTATGATATATCTATTCAACGTTTTCTAATTCATAGTTTAATGTAGGAGGTCATTTATTAGTGTGATATTTTAAATTTGTTCAATTTACTATGATAAATTGATAGATTTTAGTTGTAATATAGAAACTTTCAATATTTAAATTTCAAAAATGTTAAATATGATAGCTTTGCCAAAAAAAAAAAAAAAAGGTTGAAATCATCATTGCATTAAGGCGGGAAATTTTTTATTGAGATAGCAACACGTAGACAATGATGATGTTAGCAACTTTTGTTTTAGTAATAGTTAATAGATATTACTCCCTCCGTCCCCTTTTGATAGTCACTTATGCCATTTTCGATAACCCAAAATGTTAGTCACATTTGCTTTTTTTAAGTACCATTATTATTACTTTCTCCGTGTTTTTTAAGTGTTACACTTCCCATTTTCGGCCGTGTTTTTTTTAAGTGTTACATTTCCTTTTTTGGCAAAAAACTACATTAAAATATTCTATTTCTCTCCTCTCATGACCCCCACTCAAACCCACTACTACTTTTGTATTATATCTTTCCTCTCACATTTATTACTTTTCAATAAACTATTAACTCCACTATCTTTCTTTTACAGTTTTTTAATACTCCAAGTACCTCACTTACCTCTTATTTTATTTAAGTCAATTAAATTGCCTAAAACTATGTGCCGGTCAAACTGTAACACTTGAAAAAACACGGAGGGAGCATTTTTTTTTTTACCAAAATTCTCTCCCATTTGCAAAAATATTTGCAAATTTAACTTTTCCATGTACTTTAATTACTTTCTCTCTCTAATTTTTTGCATACCTAATGTAAACTTACTTTTTCAATGTACTTTTGCTACTTCTTATTTATGTTTATTAATTCCCGTGATATTCTACCAAAAGTGACTATCAAAAGGAGACCGAGGGAGTGTTAAACTTAAAAGGGTCAATCTCCCCCTTGGTATATATAAAGAGATACAAACTTATCACCTTGATAAATTAAACAAAATCAATTGGTGGTTCGTACACCCAGGTGTACCATGCACCAGAATTAAAGCGGAAACAACATTGTTTGGGGGTAAAAAATACCCCCTATATATGTGGACCAATGCCACCTCGACACGTGTCTGCAAGCTCAGCGCTCACCAGTCATTAATGGCATTTGGTGAATTTTGTTAAAACTCGGTGACATTTGGTGAATTTGGAAAAGTTCGATGGTATTTGGTGAATTTCGAAATTACTCAGTGACATTTGATGAAATAGCCGTTAAAAAAAATGCAAAAGAAAAAGAAAGTGGGAAAGCCGCCTAACTGCATGGTCATTTTGGTGGAAAAATAAAAGCATGCAACACTTAAGTATACATTATACATGTGTACCAAGTTATTAGATTACTAGCCATACGGCAGCTGGTCAAAGCTATGAGCAGTGCCTCAATTAAGCGGCTGTATGGGCATTCGGCTCATTAATTTATCCCGGTTGTATGAGCAACTTCCTTCCCCAATTTACCCCGGCTGAAGGGGCTGCTTTGCTCATCTATCCCCCCTCCCGGCTGTGGGCTGCTTTGTCCTCTAACAATGACAAATGCCGCATGGCACTACAACAAGGAAGCTTTTAAAGCAAATCAAAGCCGCGCTAAGCATTGAATGTTTGAGGTAACAGTATAATAATTACTGATTTATTCTCTTATAATAATAATAATTATAATGAGTTTTCATTATAATCATTATTATTATTATTGAATATTGATTTATTAATTCAATAAACTAAGTTTTAAAATAAAAAAAACTTAGTAGCTAAACAAACGTCCAAGTGACGTGAGGCCAATGACCGGATAATAAACTAAGTTTGAAACTTAGTAGCTAAACTAACGTCCAAGTGACGTGAGGCCAATGGCCGGATAATAAACTAAGTTTGAAACTTAGTAGCGAATTCAACGTCCAAGTGACATGCGGCCAATGGCCAGATAACTAAACTAGGCACAAAACTGCTTAGTGGCTATACAACCGGTCTCAATCTAGACTAGAGGCCAATGGCCGGATGGTTGCTTTTTTCATAAAATTTCTTGTCCCAACATGGACAATGGCGTCCGACGACACCCCTCCGGGTGCGATCGTCGCAGAGAGCCGCCTACTTGCTTGCTCTACGTACCTATGCAGACGACAAAGATTGAACGACCAAATTGGTCAACTCATAGCCGTCTGACCAGAACAGTCTAAAGAACGACTAAGTTTTCGGAACACCAGATGCCCTAAGACATCAGTCGGTGATCGACTGAAGTTCTTACTTAGGCTTTTCATTCCAAAATTTCACAATCTCTCCCATTGGGGAAAAAAGAGTTGTGCAATGGCTATACAACCGTCTTGAAAAAGACATGAGGCCAATGGCCGGATGTTTATACAGTTTTGTAAATTCGTCTGCTCTAATGTGAAATATGGCGTCCGGTGACACCCCTCCGGGTGTAATCGTCGCAGAAAGCACTCTATCGTTTGCTTTACGTACGCATGCAGGCGGCAAAAATTGAACGACCTCATTGGTCAACTCATAGCCGCCTGACCTGGGTAATCTAAAGAACGACCAAGTCTTCGGGAACCGGATGTCCAAAAGACATCAGCCGGTGATCGACCAAAGTTCTAACCTAGATTACCTTCCGAAATTATACAAGTCCTCCCAATGGGGTAGAAAGACATTGAGAGTATAATTGGATTACAAACACCCCAGGCGGCGATTTGCCTCCTGCCCCCAGGCGGCATTTGCCTTCTTCCCTATGAAGAGTCAGGCGACCACTTGCCTCCTGCCCTATGAAGAGTCAGGCGGCCATTTGCCTCCTGCCCTATCAGGCGGCCATTTGCCTCCTGCCCCCAAGCGACATTTGCCTCCTGCCCTATGAAGAGTCAGGCGACCATTTGCTTCCTGCCCTATGAAGAGTCAGGCGGCCATTTGCCTCCTGCACTATGAAGAGTCAGGCGGCCATTTGCCTCCTTTTCTATGAAGAGTCAGGCGGCTATTTGCCTCCTGCCCCCAAGCGACATTTGCCTCCTACCTCCAAGCGGCCATTTGCCTCCTGCCCTGTGAAGAGTCAGGCGGCCATTTGCCTCCGGCCTGCCCCCAGGCGGCCATTTGCCTCATGCCCCCAGGCAGCCATTCGCCTCCTGCCTTATGGGATGTCAAACGTCTCAAAAATATTCTAAGTCTCCCAAAGGTCATATGACCACCATAGTGGGGCTGAAAGAAATAAAAGTCGTCATCTGTCTAGTTCAGGCGGCAATCATTATTATGATTGATTAACTTAGAAAATATCATACCATTTAAAGTATCAGATTTTCCAAGTTAATCAAATCCCTCTTTTATTGAACTAGACATATGCCGCCCATAGAGCTTTTGAACAAGCGGAAAATAAAGCCTTGATTTCGAAAGGAGTAATTCCTCTTGAAAGCGAAATTACCCCTTCCGAGGGGCTAATGTTTGGGGGTAAAAAATACCCCCTATATATGTGGACCAATGCCACCTCGACACGTGTCTGCAAGCTCAGCGCTCAATGAGCCAATTAGAGCATGACACGTGTCACTCAATGATAGAAGGGTGAAAATGGGCTCTAAGCCCACAACCCTAGAAACCGTAAAACGGTGGGAAGCCAATCTACTTAGGTTAAATAACCTAAGAGGCACATATCCCAATGCTCTATAAATACTGATCATTACATCAGTTTAAGGGGATCCAATTCTGTCTCCAAGGGCAATGCCCCCCACATTTACTCTCCCTTCTCTCTACTTTATCTCTCTAAAATACATTATTTCGGTCACTGACTTGATCGTCGGAGGCGGACCTCCGGCCCTCCGGGGTCCGTTGTTTTGCAGGTGATCGGGTCGTTCGAGTGTTGCATTGCAGATCTGTCTCCCGAGGGACGTACACACCCTCCATTCGGGTATGTACAAAAAACCCCAAAACAAACATAGTACATAATTACAAAGAACATCATGAATATATAAAGGAACATAATACTGAAATATAAAGATACAATATTTCTGAGCATAGTTTTTAAAATAAGGTAAAAGATAACTATTAATTGAATTTTACCAAAAAAAATTAATTCAAATCATTTCAAATATAAAAATTCTTCTATTTACAATTATTTTCGCTCAAATATAATTCAAAATTTAAAAATATACTACTATTTAAGTAAAAAGAACATAATTTGTATTATTGATACCCAAAGAACATAATTAATTTATATACCTTAATAAACATTATCTGTAACGTAATGAACATATAGTATAGACTTAAAGAACATATTGATTAAACTCCGGAAACATATTTCAATCCAATTAAAAAGTGATAAAAGAACATTTATCAGAATATAAAGAACATCATCTTCAACCTTAGAAAATATAACACTAGAATAGAGAAGTAGATTAAAAAGAAGGGGAAAAAAAATTGTAAATTACCTTTTCCCTCAACAACAAATTCAT